AACAAGATAATCAACATTCAGAAAAAATGCGTCTTCAACAATGTGATCGACAATTAAGTACGATGTTGTTTGTACAAGTGATTGTGTATATGATATTTACTATATCTTATCCAATTAATACGCTATACAATGCAGCTGTTCTAATCATTGGCGGACCAAAATCAACTGAACGAGCAGCAATTGAAAATTTCGTATTATTTATGACATCTTCGTTTCTTCTAAATTTTTACAGTGCAGCTTCATTCTTTGTTTTTCTAACGTCAGGTGCATTTAGAAAAGAATTACGGCAAGTCTTTTTTTGCATCAAACCTTAATCTGTTTATATTGGAAAATCAATCCAACATTAAACATATACCGATGCTCTTTTGACCTGTACAAGACATGAAAAAATAAATATCTAAAGACAATTTCTATTATTATTTGTTGTCAAAAAGTTTTTGTGATCATATAAAAGCATTATCCTATAGATTGGATTTAGTTGAATGTTGTTAATTGTATGCGTTTATTTTAAATAAAATATTTGCTGGCTGTCCTATAATCCATGACAATTTTTTCCAGATTATGAAACCAGTAGATTAAAATTACTGCTTGGAGAAGTTCAGAAAGAAAATAAGCAGCGTAAAAAAACACAAATATCAAGGCGTTCAAACTCTTATGTCATACTTTCAGTAATACATATCTACAAAAACCAAAATAGAAATGTCATCGCAGTTCCCATTGATGTTTCTCCTCAAAGTATTTTAACTACAATATTCAGATTTTAAGTGTGAACATGCTGCCTACAAGCAAAGTTGTCTGTGAGTAGCTTAATCTAATACACTGACAAATGTAATTAGAAAGTAGTTTGTATATTAGAACGAGGCGTGATCGATGTTTGGCTTGTATTAAGAGTTCTACTTTCTTACCTGTGAACTTTAGCTTTTCAGCTTTTGTAAATAGCTTGTAGGAATTTAACAATATTGAATTTAAATTGCAATTTCTTTTTAGTGGTTCTAATCAATAAATCGAGTTGAACCGTAGGAAATCAATGATGTTTTCTTTGTATGCATTATCTTACTATTATGTGCGATACATGAAATGACAGACAAGATTGCTTTATACAAAGTGAAACAATAATTAAAAATTCCTAGATCATTATTCACGAACTGTCGTTGCAAACCTATTTTCTATAGACATTGAAAAACTTGTGTAAAACAAAACGATATTTTTTATTAGAGTAATCAATGTTTACAAATCAAATGCAGCAAAACTATTCAATAATATATCGTTGCGAAGAGACATGCTTACTGTTTTATTATTCGCTCGTAGTTTAAATTAATTTGAATGGCATATAATTCCTTTGAGCCTTATTTCCAAGCGTCTAAAATGTCCTTTCGGAATTAATGAACTAGAAAACTTAGCATAATATTGAAGCTAATCAGTGATATTTTCCAATTTCTATAAGCTACTTTTTTATGTTAATAATACATCTTTTTTAATTATTTAATCTTCACCTATGATAATTAAAAAATTTGATTCGTTGTCTAAAATAAAGTATAACACGTAGAAAAATTCAAACATTTAAGTTCACTTTTACATAACAAACTTTACGGTCAAATTCTACTTGATAGTGCATCGTAAATGATTCATTTCATGTGAAATGAGAATACCGATTAAAACACCCAAAATAATTGTTGCTCATGGGAAAAGGAATACATGTGGTTTGATTACTGAAATAGTTTGTTTCTAGAGAACAAAATAATTCATAAAAGCACAGTGTCAGGGGAGCTATTGAGATCTGGGAGGCATAGGAGGCGGAGCCTTAGGGTCACGAGGCTTGGGCACGCTCAATTATATATAAGTCTTTCATTATTATTTAGTTTTCACGTATGACTTACAGTGCCAGAAACATATGACGCATTGTTGCAAAGTTAGTTCACATTTTCTTTATCACCAATACGAACTGAAATTCAATACGATATTCATTGGGCTGTACAAAATTTAAATGTACCAAGAAATCAACATTGAAAAAAAAGTAGTAGGAGTTGATTCGAGATCAGTTACTCGAGGGGTGACGGGGATGTAACACCCCCAATATTCTAAAAATTATCTTGCATTGTATTTCACAAAATGAAACTTACACTGCCTTAAGCACGATTTTATCATCCCCCCCCCCCCCCCAGTGTTGCCAGAAGTTAAAGTCAAAAATCCGGAATTCATATCTGAAAAATCCGAAAAATTGCAAAAACCTCCAAAAAAATTCAGAAAAACCAATAAAAACACGAGAAAAAATTCAGAAAAAATGCGGAGAATCCTGAAAAGCTTTCAAAATCAGATGGATCTGACAACACTGGTTACTCGCTCTTAAAATTTTTGGGTGCTCGTGACATCCTTGAGCACAGCATCTTGCAGAAGAAATTTTTTACACCACCATCTCCCAAAGTTGGAATGGCCATGGAAACCCTACCGCTTCCGTATCTCATTTAGTTAGAAACTTGAGCCTACCCTAGAGGGAAATCGTTCCGCCGACTATGCTGGGAGGCTCAATTTCAATTGATTTCAGATGCAATATTATTAATTTTTATTCTCAGGATTTGTTATTTCATTTATCGTACAAGTGCCATAAACTCTCGTGTCAATAATGATCGTTTTTTAGTATATGGATGCAAAGAACTAACAGAGACAACTATTTTTTGGGATTTTCTAATATTTTTGCTTTGTACTGAAAGTCAGTAAAAAAAACATATTGAAAATTTTTTTCAACTCATTCTAGGAGTGCTGATGATATATGAATTGATCAAGAGGTCGCTATGTATCGAATCAGATGGCAATGTTTTCGTCATAGATGTCGCATGAATTATTCGAACAAATATATTCCACAAATAAATGTTTATATCCTAGTGACAATAGATTCTGATCATAAGAAATTTAAAAAACCTTGCTTTTCACTAGTCTGATCGTTTATCAGTCCGAACAATACCAACGCTCGAAGCAAATTCTTTTTCTCTTTTTTTCTTGTTGTTTATTTGTTTATTGTTTGTCTATATTATTTTTACATTTCATTTTAATCCTGATTCCTAAATCAAGTATGTGTCAAATTAAAAAAATATATTCTACAGTAAAAAACACCAATGAAACCAATTCAATTCGATTTTTAGACTAATATGTAATCAATGGACGGCAGTGACACACAAATATCTTTTCAAAACGATAGTCAAACAACAGCCCCAACAATGGGTACTGTCGATACGCAACATCCAATGTATACAGTACCGGGCATACTTCATTTTCTTCAACATGAATGGACTAGATTTGAAATTGAAAGACAACAATGGGAAACTGAACGAGCAGAATTACAAGTAAAATACAATGAAAATGTCTTTTAAAAACCAATGAATCCTTTTTTCCATTATTGAAATTCAATAGGCACGAATCGCTTTTCTTCAAGGCGAACGACAAGGACAAGAAAATCTAAAAACTGCACTTGTTCGACGAATCAAAATGCTTGAATATGCATTAAAACAAGAAAGGTTCGTTGTATTGTATCACTTTTAAATCAAAATAATTTCTTGATTTTAGATTAAAATATAATCAATTAAAATATGGCAGTGAAACTGCTCCAACAGAAGATCAAAAACCATCATCAAACGAAGGACAAACTAGTAATACAGCATTTGACGAAGGTTAGAGATTTCGTATTTTACTTTTAGTAAACACACAATTTTCTTTTATCGTTTTTAGATGAAAATAAAGAAGATCCAAGTTTAGCTTTTGGTGGTAGTAGTGTTACTTTTAAACAAGGTCGACAATTACTTCGACAGTAAATGATTTGTTTCATTGTCTTTTGTTGAATTATGTTCAATGAATTTTTCGTTTTCGTAATCTATTTAGATATTTAAAAGAAATCGGTTATGTTGATACAATCATTGATATACGTTCCGCAGCTGTCAAAAAACTACTGGGAATTAAAAGTGAAACAAATCTAAATGGGAATAATGTTACGAATTCACCATCGAATATAAATGGTGATGCTAAATTAATGAATGAACCAAAAGGGTATTAAAACGCTACTTTTTTTTCATACAATTAGTCAAATAAGAATACAAAATACGAATTTAGAGAATAGAAAGCAAATAGTACTGGTAGTTATTTTCTTGAGGATTATTTTTCCTTTCTTCATAAAATACTTCAAATGTTGAGTACGTACCTAATATGAAAATAGTCTCAGCTGTCAGGTGCTGCTTATTGACATACTGAAACTATTAATAGCTTGCAAAAGAATTTTTAACCACCATCTTCTATAATTGAGATTTAATAAACATCTTATTGATATACTCTAATAAATTTTACTCGTTAATCGAACAAAAGCAATTGAAGATTTCATCCTATAGTCTACTTATGATTGGCTTCATTTTTAGAAAATTATATATAATACAATTTTTATCTTTAGAGTTATTCCTAATATTCTGAAAAATGCTGCCAATGATTTCAATAAATCTCTTGCATCATTAGTTTTTCTTAAAGACGATCAAACTGACGAAGAATCCAAGTAAGAATAATTGAAGCGATTAAAAAAAAGACAATATTCTTTATTTTTCAATAGTGATATTGACACTAATCGTATCGTAACTAAATCTAACAATGGTAACGCAACGAATATTAATCATCATTCATCAACACTTGACACACTAAACGATCCTGATGGCGAAGAAGCTGCTTTACATGAATTCGATTTTCTTACTGGTGACGCTGCTGCAGCTGCTCTAGGTATCAATGAATTTAAATCAACTGGTATAGGACAATGCTGACAAATGAATTTTTGTTTTTAATCAATCTAGATGTTTGTTTGTTTTTTCTTATAAATTAGAACCAGGTAGTCATGATTGGAATGTAGATCCATCGCGTATCAATCGTCTAAAAGAAGAATATAAACGTGATCGTCATATAAAACCAGCGCATCAAGTCACAACTATAACAAATTCAACATCAGCATCAATCAGAAATAATCTTTTCAAAAATAATGTCGCTGACGATATATCAGCTGAGCCACGTCCATTTTCTGAAGATGAGCAAAGTATGAATGCAAAATAAAAACGAAATCGCCTAAAATACAAGATACGTTTGTTTTTGTCTAGTTGATTCAATGATGTTTCGAAATAGTAAAAATTTTATCGAAGAAAATGTTATTGAAGGTCTCGATGAATTAGCACGTGTGACAGTTTCAAATGATAATGAACTACATGATGATGTATAAATAAGTTCTATTTCTTTAATTCATAAATACGAGATTTTTATTTTTGTTCAATTTAGACAAACACAAACGAATCGTCCGAATTTAAAAGAACGTGGAATATAAAATATGTTTTACGAAGGTAAAAAGAATGATTTTGAAAATTTGTCTTGATTGTTTTTCTTTTTTTTAGTCATTTGGATGGAATACGTTGTGCCACATTTCATCCATTTGAATCAGTTGTAATTACAGGATCCGAAGATCGCACGCTTAAACTATGGAATCTTGAAAAATCAGCTCTACTAAAAAAGTAACTATAAAATGCTGTTTAGAAAATGAGCGGAAACAAAATAATAAAATTTTTCATTCTAGATCAACAACAACAACAACACAAGATCTTGAACCTGTTTATACATTTCGACAACATACGTAAGTTAAACAAAACTACTTAGGAAATCACACGAGAGATATTTTAATTCTTTATGAAGATTTATAATCTAAGAAATTAAAAAACATAATCATATGCTTCAAACGGCGAGAGAGAGAGTAATACAATAGATATGATTATTTTTAAGTGATAGAAATCTTAGAAGCTACGATTTCTTCAGTTGCAAACTCTTGTTTTTCACTAATTATAATCATGTCTGATTTAGTATCAATTTCAATAGAGACTTGTTGAGTTGACTTCTCTATCTATATGTTATTCTATCAACACTATTTCTTACATACTCCGAATATCTGTCGACAGATACGCATTAGAGACTGCAATCTTACTGTTTACATATTATAAACAAACAGTTCTTATAGAAATTTTCATTATTATAATATTAGCTGAAGTCTGATAAAACATCGTAGAAGTAGCCGAGCATTGCTTTTATGACATATACAGAAGATGTTTATAACGAATTAAAATATTCTCGTCGGTCACTACTGTCAACGTGACCCTAGTAATTAGAAATAAAAATTATTTCTTAACTAGTGCTCCGGTTTTATGTACGGCTATACATCCATACGGCGAACAATTTTATAGTGGTGGTCTTGATTCAATTATAGCGGTATGGAATATTCCAAATTCTGAAGTTGATCCATATGATGCATATGGTAAATATTTGATTAATCGATATTTGTAAAAATGCATTATTCTTTTTTTAAAGACTCAAGTGTCTTGTATAAAGTATTGAATGGTCATACCGATGCTGTCTGGCAATTAGCTGTAGCCGGACAAAAATTATTATCATGTTCCGCTGACGGATCTGTAAGATTATGGGATGCAAATCTTCATCAACCATTACTATCAACATTTAATAGTAATTAGTTTTCTATTGTTTACTATTATGATTAATAATTCATTTTTTCCGTTCTGTTGCTGTTTTAGATGAAGGTATTCCAATATCGATTGACTGGTTAATGCGAGATACAAATCAATTTGTTGTTACATATGATACATTAAAAACTTTTATATACGATACAGAAACTGGGCAGATTGTCAGACAATTTGCAAATGATCACGCATCATTCGGAGATCCAAACTATCGTATTAATCGATTGATTAGTCATCCATCACAACCGATCGTTATTACAGCTCATGACGATCGAAAAATTCGATATTTTGATAGTAATTCGGGTTCGAAAAAACAAAATAATAAAAGTTCAATTAGCGAAAAAAAAACATTTATTTTTCATAGGTCGTTTGATCCATTCAGTGGTTGCTCATCTTGAAAGTGTAACGTCATTAGCTATTGATTCTCAACAAACATGTCTTCTATCGGGTAGCCATGATCGTTCGATACGTTTATGGAATTTAGATAATCGAAATTGTCTACAAGAAATAACAGCTCATCAGAAGAAAGACGATGAATCTATACATGACGTTGCATTTCATTCCTCGAAACCATATATGACTAGCGTTGGCGCAGACTCAATTGCGAAAATCTATGCTTAATTGCACTGTGAACGTCCTGTCTTCGTTTGTTTTTTTTTGTTTTTTTTATAGTTTTGTGTCGTATACTTTACATTTTCCATCAGTTCTCTTAAGATTACCAAATTTGTTCTTTCCTTTGTGTAAATAAAAACAACAAACATATTCGCGTATGAATTTTATCATGAACAAAAAAAAAATATCGACATGGAGAATACCTGTTTACAGAATGTTTCGTTTACTCTTCTTCAACTTTCTTCTTTCTTTCTTTTTTTTTCGCTAAATATCTATACTATCTTGTATTTCTTTTCTTTTACTAAGAAAAAAAAAATATATATACATATGAATATGAACATGATGAAGTTTCAAGCAAGACGATTGATTTTAGCTTGAGGCACTATTTGAAATCTGAGTAATTTTTAATTTATCGATGATGCACAATGTCAAACCACATTTCTAATCTTGTCACATAGGATACATTTCTAAATCTGTTATTGCATCTTTCTTTCTTTCTTTCTTTATTATGCATGTTCCAATTGCATCGATTTGACCTTTTAGTTTTTATCAACAAAGTAAATCATCACTATCTTTTCTTTTCTCTTAACATGCATAAATAGCAATGATTAAGAATCTTCTCTGATGTGCTCTTGTCTTTTCTTTCTCTCTCGCACTCTCTCTCTGGTGGTATAGAAAGAAAAGACTATAGTTTATCTATTGCATTTTGGCTCTTTCACATCTGTTCTCGATATACGCATATATATACATACGAGTACCATTTGTTATAATCATAGTCGATTTATTACTGGTTCGATGCGTGTTAATAAAGAGTTTTCACACAGCGGCTATCGAACTCATCATGGACAAAAATATGATGATCGTTTAAAAAGAAGAAATCGTCGGTAATAAAACGAAAGAACTGTCTTTGATATCGATTTTTGTTTTGTTCGATTTTTATAGTTATGATGATTATCGTTTTCGTAGTAATGAAGAATCGTCATTGCGTACAACGTTAAAATCTCGTCGTCATCGTTACGGAGAGTATTCTACTGCACCTTCAAATCGAAAAGACAATGATCAATTGAGTTACTATGAAAATCATAAATCATCATCATCATCAAGATTTGATCATCCAACAAACAATCCAGAAATTTACTCTCCATTATTATTAGTCAATCAACAAAATCTGTACGATGGTCAACATCCAGATGATCTGTTTTATAAAGCTTCGCAATCAATGCCAAGTCGAGGTTTAACATCAAATTACATTGACTCTGAAAGGAATCGGTATTCACCACCACCACCAGTGTCATGTTCTTCAACTTATCGGTAGGTGGCTATTTTAAATGAATAATCATCCATTTCAATTCCTATTTAGACGAGAAAGTACTCATTCATCGCCATCTTCGTATAGAAATGAATATATATCTCGAAATGAAGCTGATCAACATACTCGTAATGAATATCGATCTCCAACACCTCCTCCAGTAGGACCTTTACCTATACGCAGCAGTACTGTTGATTCATATAAAAATGTATATCGATCAAATGATTATAGCAATCGTTCTCAACAATTTAATACAGAATGTAAGTGACATCAAAAAGCAGAACTCTACTGCTATTAATTCCTGCTGTGCGCACAGCTGTTGTTTATATTTATTATGCATTAACCATTTATTCCGTTGTCCTTTCATTATAATTAATCTCTTTTTTTCTCTTGCTCTCTATCTTATTTCGGTCTATTTGACCGGAAAATCAGTAGTCATAGATGTTTTTGTTTTAATTTATTTTCTATCGATAACTGTATGATGATGATGATGATGATGATAATACCATTTGAAAAAATAGCATTCTTCTATTCCGACTTTTTTATTTATTGTTTTGTATCTGTAGCAAACCGAAATAATTCATCACGAGCTTATCATCCGATCGTACCAATACAATCGTCTATTCATCGTTCTGATTCATATCGGACTTCATTAGCTATTCGAATGTCATCACATCCGCCATTATCTTCTTCTAATGCGCCGTCATATGTTACTCATGATCAATTTGCACAGTCAATTCCACCTATGAGAGAGAATGACTATCGAATACGAGATTATGGAATGACAACATCGATAGATCATCGTCAAATTGTTGCAAATGACTATTGTTTATCATCATCCTATCGAGATCGATCGAATCTGAAACAACGTTCGAGATCAAATTTCGATGAAAATGAATTTCAACGGCCGATGAGACGATAAATAAAGCTGTTTATTCGAATACTTATATATTTATCGATAAATGTTTGTCAAATATGTTTGAATAACGTTTTTTTATCTGTATATTTCCACCAATAAATTTTTTTTTGCATTAGAAAAAAGAAATTTGTTTTTTCATTATAGAGAATATTTAATCGTATTTCTGGTGAACGTTGATCATTTAGGTATATATCAATTTTTCTCTCTACCTTCAAAAATAGATGCCAAAGACTACACATATAACAGTTATTTGTTCGCTATGAATATGAATATGAATAGAAGTGGAATGTGCTTAGAGACTCGGTGGGGTTTTTCTTTTTTCTTCTTTTTCCTCTGTTCTTTTGCATCATTTCATCCGAACGAACGAATAAACCGACTAACCGAACAGAAGAAAAAGCAGGATGGTGGAGAATTGTTAACAAAACTAGAGTTCTATTCTAAAAGGCTCAATAGTTGATTGGCGACTTGCTATTAGTGCGTCGATTCTCATTATGTTATGTTTCTTTTCTCGGCAAAAGAAGGAGAACGAAGGATAAAAGAGAAGCAAAAAAACATTATTTTTTCTTACCAACACACACATGCACAAATATACGAATGCGTTAGTTTTAGTCATGCGGAGAGGGTTCTTTTTTTTCTAGCGCTGTTGCATTTTGAAGTATAGAGGTATCTTGTAGAGTGTGCAACAATTATTTTTCTCTAGATTGAAGTGCAAAAATCAAAAACATAAGAAATGACTCTATCGAATATTTATAATCAAATGCCAAAACGTTATTTACTTAGTTTATTGGGATTTTTCGGATTATTCAATGCATTTATCTTACGATCGAATCTGTCAATTGCAATTGTCGCAATGATTACTCCAACGATCGTAAAAACTTCTGCGAATACGACGACAATAATACCAGTACGGTGATATGATTTTTCGTTTATATTTTCATATATTTTGTTGAAACATTATATAGGCTGCCTTTAATTGGAGTACAACAACACAAGGTTATATTCTTTCGTCATTCTTCTACGGCTATGCTTTTGCTCAAATACCAGCTGGACTTTTAGCAACAAGATTTGGTGGAAGAATTTTATTCGGTGGTAGTGTTGGCTTGTGTGCCTTCCTAACTCTATTTACACCATTATGTGCTCAGTGTGGATCAGGAACATTAATATTCTTACGAGTTCTCGAAGGTCTTAGCTCAGTAAGCTCTTCAGCAAGAAAAGAATCTTTAAAAAAAGATTTTGTTTTTTTAATCCAAAGAGCTGCGTATATCCATCATTACATGCTATATGGTCGATATGGGCACCAAAAACGGATAAATCAAAGCTGGCAACATTTACATTTTCGGGTATGTATTCATGAGGATGACGAATTTTGCATTATCAATTTATTTCTAGGAGGTTATATTGGTACATTTGTAACGATGCTTTTCGGTGGTGTTATTGCTACTGATTGCTCATGGGAATGGGTATTTTATATATCAGGTAATTTTCGATGGTAGAGAAAATAGAAACTTCATCGATTTCATTTAGGAATTTTGGCTCTTGCATGGACAGTAGTTTGGTTTTATGTGACAGCCGAGTCACCGTCAACTCATCCGACAATATCACATGAAGAAGCAAAATATATTGAAGACAACATGGATCAAGCGATATCACGCGTAAAACATATTTACAGAAGAGAAAAAAGTGTATTATCTAGTGTTATTATTTAGAAACAAACAATTCCTTGGAAATGTATCCTAACATCCTTACCAGTATGGGCAATTATTGCGGCGCATTTCGGAACAAATTGGGCTATCTATACAATGTTTACTGAATTACCAACTTTTCTTGTCAAATCGCTTGGCTTTCGTGTTGATACGGTTTGTCTAACAGTAGTTAATTTCACTATGCATTATTTTTTTTCTAATCATAGGCTGGTATATTAGCTGCTCTCCCTTGGTTGCCAGTAGCTATATCAGTGTATGGAGCAGGCTTTATTTCAGATAAATTGACTGAAAAATATTCAACCTTATATGTTCGAAAATTCATTATGTCTATATGTAAGAAAACGAATACTAAGTAGTCCTTTTCTATGATTGATTTCGTTACATTTAGCTTTTATTGTAATGATATTGGGTTTTCTTGCCGTAACTTTATTGGACGCTAAACATCGTGCCTTAATTATGATTGGTATTATAGTTGTGATTGGTACATGTGGTCCTGCTTGGGCAAGTTTCGGTGTTAATCATCTCGATATTGGTGGACATTATGCAGCTGTTCTCATGGGTATATCAAATTGTATTGGATCGACACCAGGTTTCATTGTACCAGTTATCACAGGTTACATTGTTCAAAATCCGGAAGTAATATTTTTGGTGGTGCTAATCTGAAAATTCTCTCTCGTATACTAAATTTAGTTGAAACGTGAATGGAATGCAGTATTCATTATCTCGATCTTAATTTGTGTATTAGCTATCATGTTTTATACATTTTTCGCTGCCGGTGAATTACAAGTATGGGCGTCAAATAGTGCTGATGAATATCAACATGTTCTCAACAATCCAATATCATCGCGAGATATTAGTGAACGCAGTGGTTTAAACGAAAAGAATATTGATGATTTGACAGATCGTCTCAAAGCCGAGATTCACGATGAAAAGAATGCCGAGTGACGAAGCAAATAAAATTAATATGTTGTATACTATAAATCATTTTAATTGTTGTAGGCTTATTTTATTTTTTTCGTTGTTGTTATTTTTGTTGTTCTGTATTATTCCGTATAGAATATACCAGTTGTGAGTATTAGATGTATACATTTAGGTACTAGGTCAATTCGTCGCGAGACAATTCGCTGCAGACAATTCGTCGCACAGACAATTCGTCGTCGGACAATTCGTCGCACGGACAATTGGTCGCAATGTAAATTAATGAAAGTGAATATGACTTGTTGCTTGATATAATTGAATCAAGTAGAATATGTTCAATTAATTGAATAAGCCCACGAATTTCGTAGACTGAGTTATGAATCTCAAGGAAAAAATAAATAATCTAATAGGATTTTGGGAAAATCAGAAAAAAACCATTAATTTAAAAATAAATATAAAATAATTCTCCTCAGTGACAGAAGACATTTCTTGTCAATATTCATACAATTATCTATATCAATTATTCTACATTCTCATTAGTCTCCCTTAATTAAATTAGAATAAGCATGTATGCGACGAATTGTTCGCGCGACATATTTTTCTTGCAACGAATTGTCCGTGCGACATATTTTTCTTGCGACGAACTGTTCGTGCGACATATTTTTCTTGCAACGAATTGTCCGTGCGACATATTTTTCTTGCGACGAATTGTCCAGTTACCTACATTTAAACAGTGAATATTATTAATAAATCTGAATATTATTTTCGATAGTCAACTATTTTGTTGTTATTTTGAATGTGGATCACAATCGAATGCGGCGCTTTAACACGACGAATTGTCATAATGTAAAGTTTGATGTTTCTTTAGAGTCTCTTTTATTTTGCTATCTACAAGAGGCAAATTGTGCATTATGAGTGGTATACACATTGAGTTACTAAACAATCATGTTTTTTGGTTTTGAAATAGTGTATCTTCGGTAACTGATTATGGTGAAAATAACTATTGTCAATATTTTGCATTTATTTTCAATATGAAAACAATAATATATTTTAAAATAAATAGTCCTACACCTATATTGAAGCACTGAATATACAAGTGTTCATATTGTTTATGTGTGGTAGGTAGTTGTTTAAGTTTAGATGTCGATATGGTTGAGACGGCAACGCCAGTTATATTAAATAATTTCAAATATTTAGATGCCTAATTTGTTTTTGCTCCCAAATATTTTCTACTATTAGCTTCTGAAGTTTTTCCTGAAACGTGTCAACCAATCGAAAAGTATTTCAAACTTCAAAACTTTCCTCGTCTTGTCAAAATGTATCAGCAGGAATGTTTTCATAAAAAATTTAATTTCGAAGAACTTTTGAAAATATTTTGAAAGTTGTGTTCTATTCGCACAATATTCTATAATTGATGTTCAATTTTCTAATAATACGCCAATACTAATCATATTGTCTTACTCTTTCTCTCCCTGATCAATGAATAACAGAACGCAATATAAGGCACATGCAAAAAAACTGATTTTCATCAATGCATGCGCATGTGGAGAGACACTACGACGAAAGAAGAGCGTTGGTTTCAATCATGCGGAGAAGGTTTTTTTTCTTCGTTTTATACACCGAATAGAATGATCAATCATACTTTTTTCTGTAGATCGGAGTGAAAAGTCCGAAAACACAAATAATGACGCTGTCGAATATTCAACAACGAATTCCAAAACGTTATGTATTGAGTTTCTTGGGATTCATCGGATTATTCAATGCCTTCATTTTAAGAGCAAATCTATCCATTGCCATCGTTGGAATGGTTACTCCAATGTATGAGACAACACCGAACAATATCAGTAGAATAATACCAGTAACGTAGCTTCTTCTATTTTGTTTTTATGTACATATTTTTCTAAATCATACAGGCTATCCATAATTGGAATACAAGAACACAAGGCTATATTCTTTCGTCATTCTTCTATACTTATTGTCTCTTTCAAGTACCAGCTGGATTTTTAGCAACGAAATACGGCGGAAGAATTTTATTTGGTGGTAGTATTGGTTTGTGTGCTTTTTTAACTTTGTTTACGCCAATATGTGCTCAAGCTGGATCAGGAGCATTAATATTTCTACGACTTCTTGAAGGTCTTGTTTCAGTAAGTTTTCGAATAAAATAAGAGGCTTTACAAAAATTTGTTCGCTTATCTACTTGAAAGACTTGTGTATACCCAGCACTACATGATATATGGTCGAAGTGGGCACCGAAAAGTGATAAGTCGACATTAGCAACATTTGCTTTTTCGGGTATGTCCAAATGAAAATGAATTCTATTTTATCGATGAACATATTTTTAGGAGCTTATGTTGGCACATTTATAACATTGATGTTTGGCGGTGTGATTGCTGCCGATTGGGCATGGGAATGGTTATTTTATTTATCAGGTGAGTATTCTTAGTTGAGACCATTAAATTTCATTGTTTTCTTATAGGATTGTTTTCTCTTGTATGGACAGTAATTTGGTTTTATTTTACGGCTGAGCTACCGTCGACTCATGAAACTATATCAGAGGAAGAAGCAAAATATATTGAAGAACATAGAGATCAAGCGATATCACAAGTAAAATAGTTCTATAGAAGATTGAAAGCCTACTATCTAGTTTCTATATTTAGATAGATACGATACCTTGGAAAGATATATTCACATCATTGCCAGTATGGGCAATTATTGCTGTTCATTTTGGAACTAATTGGTCACTCTTTCTGGTATTTAATGAATTTCCAACATTTCTTGTTAAATCACTAGGTTTTCATGTTGATTCGGTTTGTCTAAAGATAAACGAGTTTTGCTCGATTATAAGTTATTTCTATTCATAGGCTGGATCAATCTCAGCTCTTCCTTGGTTATTGTTATCAGTGACGGTGTATGCAGCAGGTATCATTTCCGATAAATTAACCGAAAAATATTCAACATTATTTGTACGAAAATTCATCGTATCTTTAAGTACGAAATTGAATACTAAGTAGAGTTATTTATAATTTATTTTCATTACATATAGCTTTCATCGTTTTGATATTGGCTTTCGTTCTCGTAACTTTATTGAACGTCAAAAGTCGTGCTTTAATTGTCACAGGTATTATTATTGTGGTTAGTGCATGCGGTCCTGCTTGGGCAAGTTTCGGTGTTAACCATCTCGATATTGGTGGACATTACGCAGGTGTTCTAATGGGTATATCGAATTCCATCGGATCCACACCGGGATTCCTCACACCGATTATAACGGGTTATGTCGTTGACGATTCATCTGTAAGCGTTGTCTTGTATAAATCTGAGAAGTATTGATGTTTTTTTTTTTTTATTAAAATTTTTAGTCGAAACGTGAATGGGATATATTATTCGTTATTTCAATGGTTATAGGCGCGTTAGCTCTCGTATTCTACATTGTTTTCGCTGATGGTGAATTACAACCGTGGGTATTGGGTGGTAGCGATGAATATGAACCGGTGTTCAACAATCCTATATCATCCCCAAATGTTAATGAGAGCAGTGTTCTCAATGAAAATAATACCGAGTGAAGAAGAAAAAATAATTTTGATTTTGGTTCGTGTGATATTCTGAATGGTTGAAGACATACTTGATTTTGTTGCTCGGTACTATTTTAATAAATTATAAGTTTTGTGCAGCTTAGATATATACAAGTAAAAACAGATTGTTTTTCATAAGTATAAATGACACTAGAATTTTGTTTGATTCCTCCGTCGTCCATACGTAATTTTACACACACTGAGAAATACTGTTTTAAAATTTACGGGTTGGTTTCTGATTGATGACTTCTCTCCCGTCATCCATTGGTACACGAATGCATGAAAGTGTTTTCAAATGTCAAACACATACGTTATCTACCTCCATATACGGTATATTTTTTGAATCATCTTCCAAAAAACATTTCGCACAACGGTCCGCATGGATTGTGACATTGTGATTGAAAGAGAGCGTTGGTTTCTTTTATATATATTTATATACCTTTCAGATGGATTCGTAGATTTGTTTCTGCATATACAAGTGGACAATCAACAACACAAATAATGGCTCTAGCAAATATTTATCAACGAATTCCAAAACGTTATATATTTAGTGTATTAGCATTTTTTGGAATGTTTAATGCTTCCATGTTACGATCGAATCTATCAATAGCGGTTGTTGAGATAATAACTCCAAGGGTTGAAATAACATCGGATAATACAACTAGAATAATACCAGTAACGTAGCTTCTTCAATGTTTTTTATTTTCGTATCTTTTTTGTTGTCAATAATGCAGGCTGTCCATAATTGGAGTACAACAACGCAAGGCTATATTCTTTCGTCGTTTTTCTTTACTTACACAGCTGTTCAAGTACCACTTGGATTTTTAGCAACAAGATTTGGAGGAAGAATTTTCTTTGGTGGTAGTATCGGTTTGTGTGCTTTCGTAAGTTTATTTACGCCATTGTGTGTTCGAAGTGGATCGACAGCATTAATCCTTCTGCGACTTCTTGAAGGATTTTGTTTGGTAAGTCTGTTCTTTTGAAAAGTAGAACGATGAAAAAAAAATCATTTCGCTTTTTTAATCAATAGAGCTCTGTGTACCCTTCATTGCACGTTGTATGGTCCATATGGGCGCCGAAAACTGATAAATCCAAAATGGCATCGCTTGCTTTTTCTGGTATGTATTTATGAGGATGAATAATGTTTTCGGTATGAATTTTGTTTTAAGGAGTTTATTGTGGTACGTGTTTCATAATGCTTACTGGCGGTGCTATTGCTGCTGATTGGTCATGGGAGTGGGTATTTTATTTACCAGGTAAAGTTTGATAGAAGAGAAAATAAAAATTTCATAGATTTCATTTAGGATTGTCGGCTCTTTCATGGACAATTGCTTGGTTTTATGTGACAGCCGAATCCCCATCCACTCATCCGACTATATCAGTTGAAGAAGTAAAATATATTGAAGACAACATGGATAAAGATATATTAAGAGTAAAAAAACTTACAAGAGGGGAAAGCGTATTGTTTAGTTTTAATATTTAGACAGAGACAATTCCTTGGAAGGCTGTACTAACATCATTACCAGTGTGGGCTATTATTGCCGCACATTTTGGAGCCAATTGGTCTGCCTATTTAATACTGACAGAATTACCAACTTTTCTGGTCAAAGCACTTGGCTTTCGAATTGATACAGTCGGTCTAAGAATGAAGAAGATTCATTCTCATTATCTTTTGTTTCATGTTTATATAGGCTGGTTTATTGGCAGCTCTCCCTTGGCTAACTTTAGGAATATCAACATGTGCAGCTGGTGTTATTTCCGATAGATTAACTAAAAAATATTCTACATTATACATTCGAAAACTAATTATGTTTATAAGTATGAAAAGAAATACAATATTCGTATTATTTGTGACTGATTTCATCCTATTTTAGCTTTTACTATAATGGTATTGAGTTTTCTTATGATAATATTATTGAATGTCAAAAGTCGTGGCTTAATTATGATAGGTATTATCATTATGGCTACTTCATGCGGTCCTGCTTGGGCTAATTTTGGTGTTAATCATCTTGATATTGGAGGACATTATGCAGGTGTTCTAATGAGTATATCAAATTCTATTGGGTCAACACCGGGATTTCTTGCACCCATGATAACTGGCTACATCGTTGAAAATCCACACGTAAGATTTTCTTCCCCAGTTGTAACTGGTTTTTATTTATATAAATTTTAGTTAAAACGTGAATGGAATATAATCTTCATAATTTCAATCGTCATTTGTGTGCTAGCTCTTGGGTGTTACTTGTGTTGTGCTGCTGGTGAATTACAAGCGTGGGCATTGAATAACAATGATGAATACGAGCCTGTGCTCAATAATCCTATATCATCTCAAGATCTTAATGAAAATAATACCGAGTGACACAAAAGAAAATTAAAGTATTTTCGGAAATTGAACGTGTTTTGCAACTTAGATGTATTCTAGTAGACAGAGATGGTTATACATAAATATAAAATTTTTTTTTGTTCTATAGTTTTTCGAGGGTTATGATGTGAGCATGGATATATTTGTTTTTAAATGTTACACGGCCATAACTCTGTAAAGTATCATAAGAGCATTAGCTGAACTTGGGGTTTAGGTCAGTTGCTCGTAGGACACTTACTCGCTATGACCAACAGCGCGAGCAAGTGACCGTCTCCCTATTATCTTACTTGATCCGAGTAAAAAAATCAGCAGCAAGCAAGATACAAGGCAGGAAAAAAAAACTATTTGGTATAACGATCTGCATGGATTGTGACATTAAGATTAACAGCAAGTGTTGATTTACCCCACGTGAAGAAGGTTTCTTTTATGTGTATTGATATTCCTTTCAGATAGATTCATAGATCTTTTTTGCTTCACATCCAAGTGAATAATCGAAAGCAAAAACAATGAGTCTATTGACTATTTATCATCAAATTCCAAAACGTTATATACTTAGTATATTAGGATTTTTCGGGATGTTAACGGCTTCCATTTTACGCTCGAATCTATCGATTGCAATCGTTGCAATGACTACTCCTACACTTGAAAAATCATCAATTAATACAACTACAATACTAGCAGTAAATTGACAAGATATTTTAGTTTAGTTTCAATTTATTCTCTTAAAAATCTTTAGGCTGATTATAATTGGAGTTCTACAACGCAAGGCTATATTCTTTCGTCATTCTTTTATAGTTATTGTGCTTTTCAAATACCAGCTGGATTTTTAGCGACAATATTCGGTGGAAGAATATTATTTGGCGGCAGTATTGGTTTGTGTGCCCTCTTAACTTTACTTACACCAGTATGTGCTCGCAGTGGACCAGGAACATTAATATATCTACGAATTCTTGAAGGCCTTTGTTCAGTAAGCTCTTTACACAAAGACACACTTGGAAAAAAAACGATTCTGCCTTTTTAATCGTAAGAGTTGTGTATATCCATCGTTATATGCTGTATGGTCGAAATGGGCACCGAAAAACAACAAATCCGCGTTGGTAACTGTTTCTTTTTCGGGTATGTGCAAATGTGAATCAATCATTTTCTTGAAATATATTTTTTTTAGGGGCTTATTTTGGTACTTTCATAATAATGCTTCTCGGAGGTGTTATTGCTGCTGATTGGTCATGGGAATGGATATTTTATCTATCGGGTACATTCTTATAGTAGAGAAAATATAAATTTGATTAATTTCATTTAGGAATATCGGCTCTTGTATGGGCAGTAGTTTGGTTTCCTGCGACGATTGAATCACCAGCAACTCGTCAGAATATATTAGTTGAAGAAGTATTATATATTGAAGAGGGCATGGGTAAAACTATATCACAAGTAAAACCATTATGCCTAAGAGAAAAATCCATTATCTAGTTTTCCTATTTAGAAAGATGCCGTTCCTTGGAAAGATATATTGACATCATTACCAGTATGGTCTATTACTGCAGCACAATTCGGAACAAATTGGGCTATTTATGCAATATTTAGTGAGCTGCCAACTTTTCTTGTCGAATCACTTGATTTTCCTGTTGATACGGTTTGTCTAACGATAGTTAATTTCATTGTGCATTGTTTTTTTCTCATAGGCAGGTTTATTAGCAGCTCTGCCATGGTTGCTATTAGCCATATCAGTGTATCTAACAGGAATTATTTCGGATAAACTAGTAGAAAAATATCACACATTATACGTTCGAAAATTAATTATGGCAATATGTAAGAAAATGCATATCGTACAGAATCATTTCAGATTGATTTGATCATATTTTAGCTTTTACTCTAATAGCATCGAGTTTCCTTCTGATTACATTACTAGACGCCAGTAATCGTGTCTTAATTGTGATGGGTGTTATCATTGTGATGGGTGCATGTGGTCCTGCTTGGGCAAGCTCCGGTGTGAATCAGCTTGATATTGCAGGACGTTATGTAGCTGTCCTAATGGGTATATCGAATTCTATTGGATCAACACCGGGATTTCTTGCGCCCATGATAACTGGCTACATCGTTGAAAATCCACACGTAAGATTTTCTTCCCCAGTTGTAACTGGTTTTTATTTATATAAATTTTAGTTAAAACGTGAATGGAATATAATCTTCATAATTTCAATCGTCATTTGTGTGCTAGCTCTTGGGTGTTACTTGTGTTGTGCTGCTGGTGAATTACAAGCGTGGGCATTGAATAACAATGATGAATACGAGCCTATGCTCGATTATCCCATATCATCACGAGATATTAGTGAGAGAAGTTTTGAATGAAAATAATAATGATTATTTAACAGACGGTCTCATTGTTGAGTGACGCANATGGAATATAATCTTCATAATTTCAATCGTCATTTGTGTGCTAGCTCTTGGGTGTTACTTGTGTTGTGCTGCTGGTGAATTACAAGCGTGGGCATTGAATAACAATGATGAATACGAGCCTATGCTCGATTATCCCATATCATCACGAGATATTAGTGAGAGAAGTTTTGAATGAAAATAATAATGATTATTTAACAGACGGTCTCATTGTTGAGTGACGCAAAATTAAATTACTATATTAAATCTTATTAGTTTTTTTTTATTGTAAACTTATTTGATTTGTCCGTTTTCAATAAATTTTATCTGTTACAAATCTTAGTTTGATATGACTCGGCAGGCATTGACATATATACTGTTCTTCTCATGAAGTTAATTTGATGGTTTTGTTGTGTAATCCATCAGTAATTTAACAATGGGTGAACCAACTCATCTACATGTCTCAGACAAGTTTACCTTTTTCCGATTAGGAAAATTTATGTCAACAATCTGAGGAAAAGTTTTTGTATGGATAAAATGATATATGCCGATGGATCTGAATCGATCAAAAAAAAATAACCGCTTTTTGTATAAGAATTACCACTCAGACGATTGAAGTTGGAATTTTCGTTTATGTACTGGAAAACAAATCGACGATCATGCAGTTATGCCTATCCATATATGTCTTCACGGATTGATTTTTCTAATATAATTAAAACGAGTCATGGTTGTCATGAGGATAGAAGTAACTTTTAAAAACGGACTTCCAGTAGTTTAGAACAATTTCAGACATTACGTTTTGCTGCGAGTATCCATTAAAAATGTTTTCAACTGTTCTAATTACACAAATGAGCTTAATTAATATCAACGAAATAATTTTTTGCGCGGTTATTATCATATAAATCATGTATTTTTTAAATATTAGTATAACAATTCAAAACGTTTTTATTTGTAATGATTAACGTACTTGAAAAATACTTGATGTATACGAGCGTAAAGTTGTAGAATAGTGATGTTACAAGTACAGAAAATTAGGATTGAAATTTGTATCAAATTCGCATACTTCATCTGTAATGTGATCAGCATCAAGGGGGAAAAAGCGCGACTCCCGTACTCCAGCGGACTCCCTGTACTCCCAGACGATACGATAACTGTGCTTCAAAGACTTTTAGCAATTTCAAGTCTACTATCCACCTGTGTTACGGTATAATAGCGGGAGTCCAGCCAGCCCAAGCCTATCTTGCAATATAGCCAAAATACTTCATTGTATTCCAACGTTTAAAATGGATGAAATAAAACGAACTATTTTGACTTTATTGCAAAATAGATGTGAGCTGGCTGGACTCCCGCTACTATACCGCAACACAGGTGGATAGTAGACTTAAAATTGCTAAAAGTCTTTGAAGCACAGTTATCATATCGTCTGGGAGTACAGGGAGTCCGCTGGAGTACGGGAGTCGCGCTTTTTCCCCCTTGGATCAGCATGGTCGTAACACACACTATTTCTACGCACGACTAACTTCAATTACAGAGAATATGATTCGAGAACGAATAGGTACGTCATATGTCAAGTTATTCTACGATATCGTTTAACGTAGATGTTGTTTGAAATCGAACCTATACGGAATAATATCTAACTGAAAAGTGTGAGGTAATGTTAAACAAAATTCAAGTTTTATTTTAAAAGATGCAATAGCTCATTGACGACTCGTTATTTGCGTATCGATTCTCATGATTTTTTCTTGTGAGCTCTATCAAGGAGAGATGCAAAGAAAACGATTTTTCTTATTGATACATGTGCATAAAGCGAGACGAAACGACTATACGAAAATGCTGTTTTTAATTATGTCACGGTTTCTTTTTTTCTGTAGATAAGACTGAAAAATAATCAAAAACGCAACGAATGGCGCTATCGAATATTTATCAACAAATTCCAAAACGTTATGTGCTGAGCTTACTGAGATTCTTCGGATTATTTAATGCCTTCGTCTTACGATCGAATCTATCCATTGCAATCGTTGCAATGATTACTCCAACAATTGACAACTCATCCGATAATATGACCATAATGATACCTGTAAAATTACTCTCTTTTGCTTTCTTGTTAACATATACGTTTTTGAAATAATATATAGGCTGTCTATAATTGGAGCACTACCACACGAGGGTATATTCTTGCATCATTCTTCTATGGTTATTGTATTGCTGTCATACTAGCTGGGTTGCTAGCAACAAGATTTGGTGGGCGAATTTTACTTGGTGGTGGTGTTGGTTTGTGTGCTTGCTTAACTTTATTTACACCATTATGTGCTCGGAATGGATCAGGAGCATTAATGTTCCTACGAGTTCTTGAAGGTATTAGTTCAGTAAGTTTTTTATCGATAAAAGAAACTTTACAGAAAACAAATTTCGTCACTTTTAATCAAAAGAGTTGTATATACCCATCATTGCATTCTATATGGTCGAAATGGGCACCGAAACAAGATAAATCGAAATTGGCAACGTTTACATTTTCTGGTATATATTCATAAAAATGAATTTTTTTCCGCATAAATTCATTTTTAGGGGCGTATACCGGCACATTTGTAACGATGCTTTTTGGTGGTGTTATTGCTGTTGATTGGTCATGGGAATGGGTATTTTATCTATCAGGTAAATTCATATTTATTTCGTGAAACAAGCCGAGATTGACCTTAGTTAAACTAGGAGTTCTTTTTGTAATAAACTATAACATATTATTAACTAGTATATAGATATAAATAATTAAAGATTTTCTGCTTAGTATACTGCCATAGAACTAGATCTGTTGTAGAAATATTTATGTAAGAAAAACATTATTATTCTGTAATCTGCTGATATTTTACGTTGAATTCAGCGAATCCTAGATTGACCTACGACATGTATTATACATACTTTAGGAATATCCAGTCTTTCATGGGTACTAATTTGGTTTTATTTCACGGCTGAAACACCCTCAGCTCATACAACGATATCATATGAAGAAGCAAGATATATTGAAGACAATATAGTTGAAGTCATTTCACAAGTAAAATAAGGTTACGAAGAGTGAAAACGTGTATTATTTAGGTTTAATATTTAGAAAGATACAATTCCATGGAAAGATATATTGACATCATTACCAGTATGGGCAATTATTGCGGCACATTTCGGAACAAATTGGGCTATCTATACAATGTTTACTGAATTACCAACTTTTCTAGTTAGAGCACTTGGTTTTCGTGTTGATACGGTTTGTCTAACAGTAATTAACTTCATTATGCATTGTTTTTTTCTCATAGGCAGGTTTATTAGCAGCTCTGCCATGGTTGCTATTAGCCATATCAGTGTATCTAACAGGAATTATTTCGGATAAACTAGTAGAAAAATATTCCATATTATACATTCGAAAATTCATTATGTCTATATGTAAGAAAATAAATATCATGTAGAATCATTTGTGAGTTATTCCATTACGTCTAGCTTTTACTATAATCGCGTTGGGCTTCCTTCTAATTACTGTATTAGATAATGATGATCGTGCCTTAATTGTGATCGGTATTACAATTGTGATTGGTGCATGTGGTCTTGCTTGGGCAAGCTTTGGTGTGAATCATCTCGATATTGGAGGACATTATGCAGCTGTTCTCATGGGTATGTCAAATTGTATTGGATCGACGCCAGGTTTCATTGTACCAGTTATCACAGGCTACATTGTTCAAAATTCAGACGTAAGCATGTCTTGTTTTAATATGAAAGTTCTGTTTCATATTTTTATTTTAGTTGAAACGTGAATGGAATAATATATTTATAATTCCCATCTTTATCTCTGTAGCAGCTCTGATGTTTTATACATTTTTTGGTGCTGGTGAATTGCAATTGTGGGCATCGAATAGCAGTGATGAACATCAACGTGTCATGAACAACCCTGTTGTATCTCGAGATATCAGTGAACATACTACCAACTGAAAAACAAATAGATATATTACAAATTATTAGTTATTTTGGGGTTATTAAGTATGCATTGTATTCACTATGATTAATAGACGTATTGTATTTGAATAGTTACAATTATCAATAAATATGAAAACTATGTTGCATAGTCAATTACGTTAAAGTTATCAAAGAGACAGCTCTGATAGCATTTATTGCTTTAAAGTATTTTGAGGTTTAAAAATCTTTACAGTTATTAAAGGGTATCGTCAGCATAACTTGTGCTTTGGTACAACTGAAAAAGTGATATCTAGTAAAGAAATACAAGATCTTTTTCACGCTTTAAATGATCAATCAGATAACCAAAGAGTATTATTGATATAGATGATTAATTGCAGAGAAACAGTAATAATAATTAAATATCGAAAAAATCTAGGAGTGACAATCTAAAAGTATTGTTATAATTTAACCGAAATATACACTGCGTACATATTCATATTGTGAAATAGTTGCGTCAGGTAAAGATAAACAGAATATTTTAACATTTACCAATTCAAAAGATGGCAAGTTTCAATCATTATTAGAATATATAGTTGACTTTTTAAAGAGAATATTCCATAGCGGTACAGACTTTATAAGAACTAGCTTTCATCATAGTGACAAAAATAAGTCTTAGGAACTCCAGATATAAGTGCCTTCACTGAATTCCATTTATTTTCGTAATGCATAAGTGAAAACTAAAACATAAAGGTGTGCTGTATTTCAACATCATGAAATTCATCTTCAATAGTATTCTTCATAAGCAGTTCGTTTATATTAATTTGTTTTTCCATGGCGATTACTGGCGAATCATTAAGATCTCTTGATACTTCGTCTTCGTTTAATATGAATGCTTCTAGGAAGAATATAGCGAATATGCACGAAAATAATATATCAAAATATAGCTATTATAAGTTGTATCAGTATTTTGTTGTTCGATTAAAATATCTGGTAAATTCATATATTGACTTTTGCGATTCTTTTCAATTTTATTACAAGAAACATTGACTCATGTTTTATTTGAGATTGGTCATTCCAACTATCTTGAATGACATTTAATACTGCCTAAAACGATCAAGCAACGGCATTAACTCTATCACATACGCTTACAAATTAGAGTAGTTTCCCTTGGAATGTAAACAAAGCTTTTCAGACCATTTTCGGTGAATAATGAACCATTGCATTTTGAGCTACGTCCTAGACGTATACTCTTCTTGTTTACAGCATTTTGTTTCTTCGCATATTATATAATTTGATTGTTTCAACTCAATTTAATACTTTCCTGTAGTCTTATTTTTTAATATTAGGAAATGTTTTGATAAGTTAATTAGACTTTATACATGTATATCAATTTTTTTTAAAGCTAGTTTAAAATCTATGCAAAGGAACAACTAAACCAACAAAGATAAAACAATTATGTGTGCTAACCGAGAAGAAGCGATGATTTCAGAACAAATAAACTTATTATTATATGGGGGAAGGATTTCAAGAACAACTTTTTCTTAAAATATATGATTCACTATCACTATTTGCAATGTTTTGTAAGCTATAGTTTCCATAGGAGGTTGTGAATCGAGATCTGGAGTTTGAATGAATCTCTAACTGGGAATTCACTCTCAATAGGAACTGATATCATTATAAAAGGTAGTTGTGCAGTAAGATAAATGAGAGAATGCCGAAGATTCGAAAATTTATTATTCTCTATGAATTCACAATTTATAGCCAATATTGATGATCGTGTAGAACGAGAAAGAGATATGCTAATCGTTATAATTACCTCATATTATTGAATAGATCTTGTTTCTATTGATTTGTAGAATAAATCAAAGAGGTTGATGAGACCCTCGAGTTCATAAACAAAAGAATTAAGAATAAAAACACAATAAAATGAACCTTAATTTTCGCAATGCTATTCATAGAAGCATTCATTTGAAATTCAGTTAGTAATGCTAAATTGATTTTGTTAGGATGCAACGATTTCATTTCATTAGAAAGTAGTTGTTGATGATTTCAAGATAATCTTTGAAATGATAGAAAAACCGGGTGAGAACAATAAAGATCGGTTATCTTAATAGTAACTACCATCTGCGATACAAAGACGAACAAAGTTGAAGATATATCTGACCACTGAATTTCATTGCTTTACGGCACACCAGAAACATCCATGGGCATAACTCCCAATAATAATTACCAAAAACTTCTCTTATATTACTCACCATTGCTCAATATGGATAAACACGGAAAAAAAAACGTTTTTCAGTGATTCTCTCAATAAATATAAATGAAAGAATGTAAAGAACGAACTTTAAAATGAGTAGGAAGAAAGAATCAATACAGGCTGTAGACTTCTTGAAATAATATGTCATTGTCGTTGAAGAATTGGAGTTACTGGCATACTGCGTCAAAATATTGCTCGTAAAAATGATTTATTTTTCTTTCCTTCTTTCATCATTATGATTAAAACAAAGCAAACATTTTTTTTGGCTCTGTACGAAGAGAAAAAAAGTATTACTGATGCATGGACAAAATTCACCACTCAATTGTTTTGTTTTTACCTTTGCTTTTTATATTTCAATTTCTGTTTGTTGCCATCTCACTCGACGATTTGCTTTTATCTCTTGTAGAAAATAAAAGGTGTCTCTACTGCCAACAACAAATCGCTTTCATTCGTAACCTACGATGCCAACTAAAGGACGAATAATTTCAATTTTTTTACATCGTATAAATTAGCTCCAATCCATTATCAATACAGTGAGTTTCACGCTCTTTGAGTCATCATAGTAATTCCAACATTTTTTGTGCACTGCCTCATATTGCATTTCATAAGAGAACTGAAGAAATCAAAGGTGTTTCAAGCGGATCTATCAGTAAGAATGGATGATTTATGACTACCCGGAGAAACGCTTTTGAATAATACGGCTTCAATCGCAATTTGTTACATCCGAGTTTCAGTCAGTTTCCGAAAACAGCAAGCCAGATCTTTTATTCGGTATTTTAAGTCTACTTTCAACCGGAAATTTTTCTAGTGGCGTAACCACGAGGGGGCTGGAGGTGGCTGAGCCCCCTCCAGAACTGCTTGAGCACCCCCTAGAAATATTTCTGTTTAGCTGTTATTTAATGTTATTCTAATTTTTCGAGCGGCTTTTGTGTTAGAGAACACAATCTAGATGTTATTCTTGATCAACAATAGTAAAGAAGAAAGAAAAAGAACAATTCTGTTCTGTTTATGTCGTCTTTGTACAATGTGAGTAATCGATCGTCATTTATCTGTTCAACAACGAAACTTTCGTCTTGATCAACAACAGTAAAGAGAAAAGAAAAAGAACAGTTCTGTTCTGCTGGTGTCGTCTATGTCAGAGTTGCAACCGGCAACGGTAAACGGCCGGTTCGGCCCGGTCTAGGATTCCTTACCGGCACCGCCAGATATACCGGCCGGTACAAGCGACTTTTTCAGACCGGCCCGGTCTAGATTTTTTTAAATTATTTTCGCTTTTTTCCCTTATTTTTTGCAAAAATAGATGATAAAAGTGTTTATTTTTGCATATCAAGCTAGTTTTTATGACATTAATGACGATTTCTAAGAAAAATTATGAGATATATTGTTTATATTAAATCAGTATTTATCAAAAATATATTTCTTAGTGACGAAGGAGAAGTCTTAAATAATTGGAATAGTGATTCAGAGTAAGATATGACTGATATTAAATGAAAAAAGTCAATAGTGACTCATATACGATGAAAAAAAACAACTATGACTCATGCCGGTCCGGTCCGGTCTGATCGGCTTAGACCGGTACCGGTACCGGTCTCGAAAAAACCCTACCGGTTGCAACTCTGGTGTATATTGTTGTTTTGTGTATTGATGTAGTGTATATTGTTGTTTTTCTTTAAAATGCTACTCTTAACATGAAAAATATGTTAGTGAACATCAAGCAAGTACAACATCTCCTAAAAAAGGTGGAAGAAATTCAGTTTTTAATTAGTTCTAAAGTGTATTGGAGCCGCGCCCCCCCCCCCCTAGCTTAAAATCCTGGTTACGCCGCTAAATTTTTCTCACCGTTGTAGGAAGTGGTTTAAAATACCGGCAACTGATCCAATTTTCATGGTCATAGAGTATCGACAAAACCTACAGTTTCTAAAAGCCGTTATTATTTTTAATTCAAACAGCTGTGAATATTATCCTTCTACTTTAATTTATAGAGAAACCCAGAGTAAATTGCGTCTTTAATTGGACCTTTTAGTGAACTTTTAGAAGCTCCATTACCACTTATTCTCTTTATAGTGTGGCAAATTGACGACGTGTGCTATTATGCAAGTTCTTCGAAATAATTGAACACGATATTTTTATCATTTTTACCCATTTTCCGTACGTCAGTGTGTGTTTTAAGAGATTCACGCATTATTTGTGCACTAACTCCAAATACCTTAATTATCAATCGACCTATCATGATCATCAGTGACAAAACCAGGGTATCAAAAACCAGTAACTTCCACTTCATGAACTAACGTAGTATTGAAAACCATCAAATGACAGTTTCTCTCAGAATGTGGTTATCAATAGACATAATATTATTTTCATATAACGCGGTGTGTCGAATGCTGAATAAATTGTGGTGTCAAAATGATTACCACGACATGAGGCGATTTTCTTGCTTTTATTGTACGATACTCTGACGTCAACAGCTAGTTGTTATCAAATATTCTGTAAAGAAAGTGATTTACTATTCGAGAAACAAAATTCACCTAGTGATATGTTATAATGCAAAAGCTATTACCTTACTAGCAAATAAGCAATCTGAACTGTTTATGAACTTTTCACTATAAATTTTGACTGAAAAGAGGTTTTAATGAAACTGAGAAAATCCCATAATTATTCCCTCATATGATTCTTTCATCCCAAGATATGATCGAATATGCACCAACATCGCATATGTGTACATAGTTTTCTCCATCTCGTATAACTCCACCCCTGCCAAAAAGATGAGGCTGAAATATTTTTCAATATTTATGACAGTTACCTCTTAAGTCGAATCTGAAGTAAAAGCTTCTTATTTTCTCTAGATTAATTGTATACTTTTATCATGGCCTTCTCACAAACTCTCAGTGGTTGGAATCCCCGTTTAATTGAGAACACCTGTGATGAACCTGAAGCCAGTTTACAACCTCTGGAAGACTATCAAGAATCAATTCTCGTTTCTCTCGAAGTAGCTTGTGAACCCATTCAATCGCTATTTCGTAATTTACCACGCGACGTTTGGATTGCTAAGAATGCATCCAAGAATCCTGCCAATGGCCTTACTTCTGATGAATCAGCCGCTATTCATCTTTATACCATGGAGATCAAGACTCGAAGTCTGTATTCGATTCTGAATGAAAAGTTACGTGACAGAGATCGTCGTAAACTTACGCCATGGTTTCTTTATCTTAAGCTGTTCATTACCGCTCTTTTCAAAATACAGCCATGTTCAACTAAGGTCATCTGGCGTGGTGTCAAGGCTGATCTTCATTCCAAATATCATCGTGGTGAATGTTACACATGGTGGGCATTTTCTTCGTGTACATTATTACTTGAAGTGCTGGAAGAAGATATGTATTTGGGTAAAACGGGGCCAAGAACTTTGTTCAATATTGAGTGTAAAAACGGAAAATCCATTAAGCCTCATTCATATTTCAATCAGGAAGATGAAATTTTGCTCCTACCTGGATTTTATTTCGAAGTTGTCAGCAAAGTCCGAGCAGCCAACGATTTATACATCATACAACTACGTGAGCTTTCCCCGCCATATGTTCTTCTTGAACCACCATTTTCCAACAATCCATGTGTTGTAAGTATCTTACTGCTTAAAAATCCCACAACGCTCCTACATATGCGTAGGTTCCAAATCAAGCGATCACGCAGCAAGGTAAAAGTTCATCAGAAAATAATGAAGCCCTCATTTTTTGGTTAAGAATGGCAGAATTAGGTAATCCCAGTCACTTGTACGATGACACAAGCTATAACATTTTCATTCTCTTTATATTATGTTTTATTCTGCAACATTACAGAAAGCACAGCTGGCAGAATGATAATTATGCCTGTAGAATTCACTAGTTAAGCGTATAAATGCGAATAGCATTATTCTTTCAAAGGTGTCTTTATTGGAGCTCTCTAGATTTACGACAGTCTCCTACATTGTTTTGGAAAATTAGTTAGATTTACCGCAATATCTATTGCAGCGAACGTACTGAAAGAATTATTCCGATAGAAACTTCCATAAACATGAATTTTATAAACATACCAATTTCAATAGGCCAGCTACTGACGAGATCAATTTTAGTGAAGTTTCCTAAAACTAACTTACGTCAGTGGTTTTTATTCGCGCAATTTTTCGTTCAATATGTTTTCCCGCATAAATTTGATGCAAAACGTAGAAATGCGTTGAGATATATCACTGTTCTGATCGAAGTTTTTGCTAGAATACAATTAGATCAAAGAGTTAAGTGATTTATTTTTTGATTCTTCTTAAATTTGTGCTTTTCGAGATTCATCAAGTTGAAAGTTAGATCAGAAATACTTTCATCGCTGAGGTGAGCCGTAATTTTTTCAAATTTCAATTAATTAAATCAATTAGTTAAGTCGTTTAATAAAATGCTTATAAGATTACGCTAAAGCTACCTACTAGCGATGTGACTCACGATAAAGCCATGCTCAATTAAAGTTGTTGGGTTAACATCAGTCAATGCTCGTTGGTTCGCAGATACTGGTACCCAGTGTTTCACTTCAGTACTAAGTAACTGTAGATTTTGAGCTCTATGGGCTTAAATATGGACGAGGGCCTAGTACAACAGTGTGATCCCCTGTTTCTGCAATGTTCCTTCTCGTCTTGTTGATTAATTTCAAAAGAATAAAAATTTTCGAAATAAAAAGAAATGCGTATCAATTTATCAATGTTGGATAAGTTAAGTACCACTCAGTTCAGTTACTATACGTTTATTAATGCTGGTATACTCCCTGTCATCTGTTGACATAAAAAACACTAAGTTGCTTCTATAACTCTTTCATGGCGCTTACTGATTGTTTAATATTATGCAACTTAGTTCCTAAAAACTATCATAAATGTTACAGTCAATGCTAGCACAAAAAAATACCCAAATCTTATATTCTTGCTCAGAATGAATTGTATAGATGTATGATTGAATGAAGTTAGTTTTGTTCAGTAACTCTACGAATATTCATTTCAGCTAACTTTCGACTTCGATGGTCAACGGGAAGTAACTTCTCATACATAGCCAATGAACGTTGATAATAATCAAGCGCTTTCATTCGGTTAGTTTGATTTTCATAACAGGCTCCAATATTATTCAAATTTCTGGCCACTTCAATATTATCACACTTATAAAATTCCGCGTAAAATGTCAATGCTTGTTCATGATAATCGATAGCTTGATCGTAATTTCTCTTCTGACAGAAAATAGCAGCAATATAATTGAGATTTTCAGCCTTCTTTTTATGGCCAGAAGGATAGAGATTCTCGTAAATTTTCAATGATTGTTGGTAATAATCGAGAGCTTCGTCGTATTTAACTTGCCGATAAAGAATACCACCAATACGTGTGAGAGTCTTCGCAATATCATTGTGATCAAATGTATAGAATTCCTGGTACATTTTTAATGCTCTTTGATAATAATTTAGAGCTTCATCGTTTCTTTGTTTTTCGTCAAGCACAAGACCAATATTTCCAAGATTTGCGGCAATATCTATGAGACAAGATGCATCGAATTTCTCTCGAATCTCCAGTGCCCGTTGATAATATTTGAGAGCTTCATCGAGGTCTTTCCGTTCGTGAAGAATATCGCCAATCTTACTGAGAGGATCACTACAGTCTAATATTCGTGGTGGATCACTTTTTTTCATTAGATTGTATGCAAGTTCATAATATTGTCGAGCTTTGTCCAATTCACCTTTGCCTTGATACGCTCGGCCAATATAAAATTCAAGCCAAGCACGATCTTCATCTTGAGAATCCTTCAATAACTGTTCGAAATATCTTAATGAGTTATTATATTTCCCTAAATTCAATAACAATCTTCCAAATAAAATCGAAACACTGAGTTTTTCTGCTTGCTTTTGTACCATTTCAAGATAATGTTTCGTAATCTTTTGTCCTTCATTTGAAAGTTTCATTTTAATGATTTGTAACGAATCGTGTTCTGTAATGGATTCAATAAGAAAGCAAGCATTCAGATCAAATAAGACTTCCGCTTCTTTTGGGAATTCACTATATTCAGCAATATCAGCAAATACAATACTTTTATCGATTTCTTTAACATCGCATTGAATATGAAAAAGAACACATACGATATTCAATCTATTAGTTGGTTCCGTTGCAAAATTTATTGCCACTGGTTTTTTTCTACTAGTGGATAAATATCCATTTGTTGATATGAGTTTTCCTTGATTTTCTTTTAGTCTTTCAAATTCTACTTTGTCTAATTTCATACCACGATAAACATGTAGGATATTTTCTTCTGATGATAAAATCTTTTCATGTTCTTGTCGAAGACTTTCAAAAAGATCACCAATATAAAATCGAAATACATAAAGAAAGCCAATGTCTTCTGTTCTCAATGCTTTATTAATTAATTTATAAACAAAGCACTGTTTTGTATACCAAAATATGGCATCTTTTGGTTGATATTCTTTTTCGAATTCTTCAATAAATTGGGTTTCTTTTTCATTTCTTCGATAATAATATTTACATATGTGAACCATTTCTTCTTTTGCTCGTTGGTTCCGTGGCATACGTGTGACAGCGTAGTGAAAAAGTTGAAACCAAAGAAATTCTGATGATTCTTTTGATAAATCTTTTGTTGATTTTTCACGTCGATCAAAAAACGAAAATGCTTGAATTTGTCTATTGACAAAATTAACTTGTTCTTTGATTGATTGCCATAAATCGTCAATTTGAGCATAGATTCCAGTGATTTTTGAACATTTGCTTAATAATTGTTCGTATTGATCTGTTTTTCTACCAAAAATAAAAACAGAATCAATTTGAGGAAGTGATGAAATTTGAGCTAAAATTTCTGTCGTTTTCGCTTCTGATGTAATTAAAAAGATTTTTTCTTTTTCGACCGACTTAATATATTTAACGCATTCATCAAGATCAGTGATGAAAATGACAAAATCATTGATGGAACGAATTCGTTCTTCCACTGTTTCAGTATCTTCATCGGATCCAATGCGTAGATCAAACCAAATGATTGTTATATTTTCTTTATTTTTCTTATCATTTGATCCAATTAATAATTGATTTGGTGATAACTCTTCCGGCGCTAGATTTTCCTTCACAAATGCTTGCGCCATAACTAAATTAATATAAAATATTCAATATCACTGCAGATTTAAAAGCAGAATAGAGTTTATACAGAATATATCGTTCAATAAAAACGATATATAAATTATGTAGTTTCTTTTTACAACAATACTCATATGTTACAGTTTTTTTTAACCAAAATATAAGCGAGGAAATTATGTGTAACATAAAATTTAGTGTCTGTCACAGTTATAAATTTTAAGCGTGCTGGAATAATGTAGAAAGCAAAAATGTCGAAGAAAATGACATGTCCAGTAAATGGTGACTGTAATCACGTGTAGTTTATTATTGTTTTTCTGAAAACTCTGCACTAGTAGAATTTTAACCAGTAGCATGGTGATAATTAATACTTGACATAAATTAAATAAAAGAGTTGAGGGTAAGAACTATTATATAGCAGAAATTCTGTTGTTATGACTGAAGCTGCAGCATTTTTAACTGATGTAACCCAAGCAAAATGGTATCTATCAAAATGAGCGAAACAAAAAGTGCCGAAAAAAATTATTTTAATATTTCTAGACTGCTAATATGAAGATTTTTTATTTTCTGATAACATTTGAAGCTCACCAAAAAATGAAATGAATGAAGCATACTTAGTTATAAAATTAGTAAAAAGAAAATATTTGTTTCGTTTGACTGTGATGAATGAGAAGCCATCTAATAATTGAGCAGCATCTATTTCAAAAAAACTTTCTGTATATTCGTATATGTGTATACATATTGATTTCATTTCTTTCGCAAATCCAATATTTTTTTTTAGTACTTTCATTTTTTACTCGATGTACAAAATCGTTTAAAACTAGCTGAGGATTAAGTTTATTAGTGATGGTAAAATACATGCTGCTGGTATTAGATGCCTTCAAAAATGATACTAAATTAACAACAAGTGATATGTAATAAAAACACGAAAACAAGATATGGCGTATGTTTAGTTTATTTATATATATTTTTTTCTTTCTTCGTGCTCATTGCTTCAGCTAGTTTCTACGATGATACTATTGACGAAAAGTGCTAGCCAGTGAAAATAGATAACACAAGAAAACGAAGCAATGAAATATCACTTACTGAATTAGAAAAATTGCTTTTTAAATTTAATGGAAAAATGCTCTTCGCTATTTTCATGTGATCGACATTTTATTTTTTGCTCTTTTTTATTCACTCTTTTTTTTATGCCATTCAGCGAAATTTCCAATTATTGTATTTATAAATTCAAATAAAGGAGAGCCTTGAGCCAAGGTCTTTGACATCGATGTGAAGCCACCATGGCGACCAATAGAAATGCAGATAAAAACAACCAATCATCGATGCCCCATGCTTTATCATTCCCTATCCATAGTTTAGCCTCATCGATCCAATTCGACAACATAATGAAAAATGCCTCAAAAACGATTGTTCCAGCGCACCGAACGAACCAATTCGATTAGCAATCGCCCAGATGCAGCCGAGCCACCCAGAAAAAGCATCGTTCACCACCGGGAAACGAATGATCCGCCAGAAAACACCTTAAACTACAAAATCTAGCTATAACAAGTGGCATGACATCCACCTGACCCTCACCCTTCGCTTTCCAGGAGCTCAATTTAGTATCAATCAATGCAGCTTCATCAGGGCTATCGACTGCACAGCTTCCGCGCTCTCGGGAAACGAAGCGACAGGGAGAAAATGCCCAAAAACTATTAAATGTTGCTGTCTCCACAGATGCAATACCCTCGGACAGTCTCCCCTTCGTTTTCCGGGAGCTGAATTGCACATCGATGGATGCATCTCAACCAGGGCTATCCATTGCACTCCTTGTTCTCTCCCGGAAAACGAAAGGAAAGAGGAAAAGTGCCCAAAAACTGCACCATCTTGCTATTTCCTGAGATCCAACACCCACTGACCGTCTCCCTTTGCTTTCCGGCGATCGAATTACACATCAATCGATGCCTCTCAACCAGGGCTATCCATTGCACTTCTTGTTATCTCCCGGAAAATGAAGCGACATGGAGAAAACGCCATAAAACTGGAAAATCGTGCTGATCCGCCCGATAAAACAGTATCTGCGAGTCGCCTATCGTTTCCGGGAGAGAATAAACGGTGGCAGTGGGTAGCCCTAGTCGAGACACATCTCTCGATGACTAATTGGGCTCCCGGCAAACGAAGGGAGACTGTCATAGGGGGTTGGATATCAGGAGACAGCAAGATTTAATAGTTTTTGGGCATTTTCTCCCTGTCGCTTCGTTGTCCGGGAGAGAACAAGGAATGAAGTTGTTAGTCCCGGTTGGGGGGTATCGATCGATGTGTAATTCAGCCACCGGAAGACGAAGGGAGACTGTCAGAGAGTGTTGAATCTCTGGAGACAGCAAGATCTTGCAGTTTTTGGGCACTTTTTCTCCTTCCTTTCATTTTCCGGGTAGAATTACCAGCGCACTCGATAGTGTTGGTCAAGGTGCATCGATGGATACTAAATCGAGCCGCCGGAAAACGAAGGGTGAGGGTCGGGGGTAGTTATACCACTTGCCGTAGCAAGACTTTGAAGTTTGCAAGTGTTTTTTCCCTCTTCCTTCGTAGACTGGGAGAGAACTAACACTGTACTGGATTTGTCTTTTGTCTTTCGTTGGAAATGCACGCATGTAGATTATTGCGCACCATCAAGCGGCGCTCACTATCGTAAAATTTGATTCGTTGGTTTTGGCGGACCAATGAAATTGCTATCACGATCGTGCTGGCAGGTCGTGCTGTGGTGGCTTCACACCGATGTCTTTGGCTCAGAGTAGAAGAATATTTTCAAAGCGAATAAAACAACAAATACTACTAGTCATTGTATATGTACACTTAATGGATGTTTAGCTAAAGTTTATAAAGTTCTATTAATGCTATGGAATACTTAGATGGTTTATCATTGACAGTTGCTAAGCAAAAGATTATATATTATCAATTTTCTTCATTATCTGTACTTAATCACAGTTAGAATGTTAAAACTAACTAATATAAGAAAACTTGTTTTTTACTACAGATAACTCGTAGACATTGGCCAACTATTTTTAATGTCAAAATTATGTTTTCGATATTTTTCCTTTCGACATTATTACAGGCAACCAAATTTTACTGAAGTGTATATTAGTCAAACTTTAATCTATGCCTTTATACCTTCCTGTGAGACTCCCAATAAGACTTTACCCTTCGTGTAACAACATAGGCAGGATTGGCAACTCTTCCGCTTTTTCAATTTTTTCCGCTATTTTTCCGCTGTTCCGCTTTTTTCCGCTTTTTCGTATAAAACTTGTTGCATATCAAACCTACGTACAGAATAATATTTGATATTATTGAATCAATTCTTATTGTTCACAAATACCGTGAGCCATCATTCTTTTATGTTTTGAAACTTTGATGAAATAAAAAGAAATCCAATAAATATGAAAAAAAATGCCTAATATTCTGAGACGCACCACAAATCCGCAACAATATATGCTTCCGCTTTTTTCCCCGTTTTTCTGTTTTTCTTTCCGCTATTTTCCGCTTTTTGGGCTTCATCATGTGGCAACCCTGGTAAGACTATATCAAAGTTCGTATGAAAATTCTATTCAAATAAATATTTTGCTACTGAGATTTATTTGTCATACTTCAAGTAGTGCTTAATACAATAGATTTCACTTGGTAGTTTTACCATTTAGAATTTTCTGTTTATGTAGGACTTTATTGTTGAAGGGAAAAATAATTTTAAAGTCTATTAAATCTGATTATAAAACTTTATGATGTGTTAAACATGTATATATGTTCTCTGCGGGGTCAAATCTACTTTTAAATCTGATTAAAGTATTCATAAAAAAGTCTATAACCGAAAATGTCCATAAAAACAAAACTTTCTAATGCAACATTTTTTATTTGATCAAATGAAGAATCAAAGGAATGTGAGTGCAGAATTTTGATCTTCCATTGAAGACAGTTCACTTTGAAATCTTGCCTCAGATAGAGATACAATATTCACTAGAGTCAAAATGAAATAATTCAAAAAATTATTTAATGACTTGGACGGATAAAAATTTAGTTATTGATAGTAAAGTTTTTGGATTGTCCATTGTACTGTCGACGGCCAGCAGCATTCTTTTTAACACCTACATGACGTAATCGATAAAGATCTTGGCCAGTTTGTTGGGTGACAGGAATATCCCATTCAACTGTTATAATACTATCATCTATAATTTCTCGTCTCCATAGAAATCGAGTTTCTATATCGCCATCCGTTAATATTGGTACCCATGTCTGATTAATGAATCGATCAACATATAAATATGATTTTTCTGTAAAAAGATCATTTCGCGGATTAGCACCCCACCACGAACAGCGAACTGTATCACCAGGTTTATACGATGGGTCAACATCAGTGAAAATATCACCAAAATTCTTGTCAATCGGTAGACCTATTGAAAGAAAACTAATCATATTCGATATTTTTTCTGATAGAACAATATTTGTCTTCTAACTAAATATTCTAATAGTATAGCATACCATCTGGAATTGGTGGTAAAACAAATGAGAAAGTTTTTCCTCTCATATCAAACGGTTGTGGACCACTTGGTACAGATTCATTTCGAGCTAGTTTCATCGATAAATCATAGAATGTTTGTTGATAAGCGGCCAATGTATGTGGACCATATAACGTTGATGCTCCTTCGTATCTCTGTTGTTGATATTCTTCATAAGTAGTAATGTAATGAGAATAACTATTTGAAAGACCAGCTATTACTATATGACTATCCGGCGTCCATGTTCCCTGCAACAACAATAAGAAAATAATTTACTTGGTAGAATTTTACTTGCATAGGAAAATGTAATCTCTTTTCTAGAAGAATTCTATCTAGGAAAAGAAGAGCTAAATAGTACTCGACCCTTTTCCAGAAGCCTATGTCAAAATATAAACTTATTAAAATATATTTTGAATAACCTTTTTTTCTGTAAGAAACACCAATATAAATTCTGATTAGAACAAAAAAAAACATTTTGTGACTTACGGCATCTTGCAAAGCTTGCTGAATAGTTATCTTTAATCTTCTTCCACTCATAGTACTGAATTCACCTGGAACTCCAACCATAAATAATTGACCGATCTGAAAAATTTGATGTGGCAAAACAAAAGGAACCCATTCGATTGGTTTAATAAGACCAACATCGAGTAGAATAGGTTTAGGTGCTTGACATTGGATTTGTTGTTGAGTTGGTTTCGCTAAGAATGCTGCAACAAATTGCCAAAAAGGATTTGTTGAATTCGTTGATTGTGTAAAATCAAAATCTCCGGGTCCATCCGTTGTGCCAGCAGCAAACGAATAACCCAATGCAGCTTGACATGTTGTTTCATTATGTCCTGTTGATGTAAAACGACTGCTTACATTAATTGTCTAGAGAGGGGAAAAATCAAAAGATGAAAGAAAATGTTTTCATAGTAAAATTACACTAAAGGTTTTCTTATTTACCTGCATATCAACATAAGTATGTCGAAAATTGACAATACTATTGCCATTGAGAAATACTTGGGCATTATCATATAAATCTTTCGCTACATCATATTGCCTTTGTCCAATAATTACATTTGATTCATACATATTGTTTCCCGGTCCAAAAGCAATGCATTTTTCCGTTTTTCCATTACATGTTGATGTATAAAATTCACATGGTAAACCAGTATCAATGCATTTTGGTCCCATTAGGTTAGGACTGACATCACCTTCATTACTTTGTCCAAAAGCGGCCACAAATGACCCTTGACCTGCCAGTGTTCCAGGTGGATTTTTTAATTTTTCAAATAAATATGAAGCATAACCTTTGTTATCTCCAGCAACTAATAGATTTGTATTGTTTAAACTAACTGCATGAACTGGATAAAAATTAATCATCCCAATTTCAGTTTTTCCATCGATTGATTCAAATCTTAAAACTGTCATCTCGTGATCTGTATTATCCTTATATTCGCCTCGATCAACATTATTCAAATAAGAAGCGGGAGAACGATTTATATTAGCATTATCAACTTGTCCAACATTTATTTTAATTCTTCCAAGTTGAAGATTTTTATGTGCAAGCATTATTGATTGAACGATACCATTAACGCATGCTTCCCAATTTTCTTTAACAAAACCAAATGTTGTTATATCAACAAGTGCCGTACCGCCTGTTCCACCAGGTGTTGAATGCGTATGTGTACCAGATATTAAAACATTTTTATCATTATATAAATTTGATCCAAGTGTTTTATTTAAACGATCGACAACTTCGGTTTTAATTATTTGAAATGCCATACCATTGTCAGCTGATACATAAACAACACGATTTTCTTCTTTATTGACATCACCTATAATAAATGCACGAGAACGCATTCGTTGTAATAAACCACGACCTCGTTGTTTTGGAACTGCATAACCCATGAAACCAACTAATTTGAATAAACAAATAAAATTTAGTATTTTTTAAAATAAAACAATCATTTTATGATAAAATATATTATTTTCAAACAACATTACTAATTTAGTGTAAAAATAAATTTACTTTCTGCTACTTGTCCCGTTATATCATAAATCCCAGCGCCAACCTGAAATATTATTCTGGTAGATATTTGAAAATTTCCTGAATGTTTTTCTTACTAAAAATTGTCCAGGATCATTTTGTTTTGCCTTAATCAAACTGATTAATGATAGAATCAAAACGATTGCTGATAAATGTAAACGAATTGTCATCGTAACCAATTGACGTAACCTATTCTAATGTTCTTTCAATCTAGAAACGTTATTGAATTTTCATTCGGTTGTTCCATGTTACTTATGATTATGTAGAGATCAAATACTCGTGATCTATTGTAAGTTTTACTATTTGCATGTCTTCTTTTTCTTGTCGTTACATACAAACCTTTCACTATATAAAAACAACGCATTGTAAAAAAAAGTCGTTTTTAACCCACGACTATATCTAGATTTTTCAGGTTCTATATTTTTTGTTACATATTTTGAAAATGATGTCTGTTTGTTAAGCAAGCGAAAATGATAGTAAAAAAAAGAAACACAACAGAGATAAGAGCACAAAGCAACGAGTCTCTTAGCTCTATTTGAATAGCATGACAACAGTCAGCATTTACTCTATTCATATCTCATATAATTTAGTATATTATGACCAGTTCATCATTTTTTCAGATAAGAACATTTTACTGCGTTCTTTAATAATAACTATTTGAGTTTGGTCAGAAATAATTTTAATGTTGCATTTAAGAAAAAGTAGAAGAATTTAGCATGAGAATTATATTTTGTTGAAAAATATCAGAGGACTATTTGAATTATCCTAAAATTGCTTTTATTCATGCAATATGACTATATTAAGAGACATACAAAGTAAACTTAACTATAATTAAGACAAAAACGTCAATTCTTTAATCACTGAATGTATTATAAGAGTATTGTATGGAAAAGGAAAATTTTTTTGAAATTAGTCTCACAAACCATGCAGTAAAATGTATGTGTTGACAAAACCAGTGTACCGCTAAGAAATGTACGAATGTATAAAGTGCTATATGGACAGCTCCCAGGAGAATGATTCCGATAGTGGGATTCTATCGGATTCGTATCGGAACTTTAGTATTGGAACTCGACAGGTTCCAGTGTCGGAATTTAACGGAATCCAACATAAGCATTCGACCCATGTGTTCTGTTGACACCAGATGCTTATTCATTGGTGGTTAAGAAAATGTTTTTTCCGTCGAATCTGTTAGTAGGCCCGTGACCAGGAATCTGATCGGATTTTGTCGTCTTGTCGGATCCCATGAGATCCGATATGGTTCACTGTCGGATTCATTCAACTGGGAGATCACATGGGATTTGGAATGTTGATGATTCTAGAAAATGAAAACATTTTATCGCTTATAGATATAACATTTTTGTTTGTTTTGATTTCTAGTGTAATGTATTAACATTGTTTCAATAAACGATTAAACGTGTCGATGTTGCAGCATATTCTAAGTGAATATTTGTTTCACAGTGGTGAAATACTCTTTTCAGTATTTGGAGTTGTTTAAAACAAGTATTATATCATCTGACAGGCACCTCTCTCATCAATTTAGGCACACATCACTAGTTTTCTACTTGTTGATTAGCATTTGATGAGATCTCATGAACAAAAAATAACTACTTTCCAAGCTATGTTAAATATTTAGCATATATTGGTTGCAGCGATATCTACGATATTGTCGATGACAAATATGAATCGACGACGACACTGTACTGTGTCATGTGATGTGCAGTAGATTGAGACTTACATACGCCACTCAAATTTTGATATGACACAAGAACGATTCATGATTTCGATTTCTGTTGTAACGAAACTTCCTATGCGCTGTCTTCATTTGCATTAGATAAAAATATGCTACATTCACACGCAACATATAAAAATTGATGTGGTTTGTATTCTATGTAATTTAAGTTAATATAATCATTAGTTGATTACCTATATTCTCATGAATTTTGTTATGATCTACGACCGGTTCTTCAAAATCCTAGGTTTCTGGAAAACCTCTAGATCTTTTGAATGGAATACTCTAGAGATCTCGGCGTTGCGTAGAGCGATTGAAAAAACTGTGGGCCATTAACTGATATCATCAGAATTGCGCCTTTAAGGAAAATGCAGAAAACCTTGGGTTTCTGAAGAACCAAGTTTCTTGAATAGCTATGTATCTTATGTTTTTCGATAGCCCCAACATTTCTCTTTCGAATGGTGAAAACCACAGCTCTCTATCTTCTTCCTAGCAAAAACTATTCAAGTTACAGTGGAGTCTCTTATATTTTGAAACGGATAATAGTTGATCATTCATTTGACGAAGAGTCTTACTGCAAATAAAATCTACATTATTTTACAATCTCGTAATGGATCAACGACGAGAAGTAATTCACCTTGATTGTTACTTGCATATTGTATTTTCCTTTCCATAACTAGATTATCAACCTAGTGCTAAAGTGTGCACTGATTTGTTCAACAATAATCATCGTTTGGAAAACTCTTATTCTATTAACGAACTGTGCAAGTCCTATGATCATATCATTGAAGTTGACCTTCTCTAATTATCAAGTCAATATCGAAAGTATGTCTCTTTGATTTGTAGCGGTGAGCAACCGGACTTTCGTGGTTTGGGCGATATTCTTGTACTTACTAATTACGATTCGGCGTCTGTTCAAGCACGTGACTTAGTTGTATTTCGAATTGAAGGTCGTGATATTCCAATCGTTCATCGAGTAATTAAAGTGCGTGCAAAGTAGATGGATTTTTTAATATTCAACGGTAACAATTAATACTAAGTCGTTTTATTATTTTTTAGAAAAGATGGCTATTTCAAAATTTTGACTAAAGGAGATATGAATGTTGTAGATGATCGTGGTCTTTATCCATCAGGGCAACTTTGGATTGAAAAAAAAGATGTTATTGGTAAAGTGTACGGGTATGTTCAATCTGCTATCTTTCGCTTTTCTTATTGTTAAGTTATTTAATTAGATATATACCATACCTAGGTATAATATTCATTTTTCTTGAAAATTTTCCTCAGCTGAGCTATTTATCCTGGCTCATGGTTGGTTTCTCCTTGTACATAGATTTTCTACCTGAAAAAGTAATCTATTCAAACAAAAAGCGACGATTCCTTTCCGGCTGGATCTGGTTGACGACTATTCGTTTTTTAATCTTAGGTGGTCGTATCTCTTGATAAATGTACTCGTTTTATTTTATTTGAATAAAATACACACATGATGCCGTCAGGCATATACGTATAAACATTTTGACGAACAAGAGTGGAAAAAATAGAGCGCCCCAATCACGTGGAAATGAATTTCGGGTGTCATTGAAAAGAAAAGAAAAATTTGTACACTTGGAAGTTAGATTGATGGCATCAGAAAAAACTAGAGCAAATATGACGTTGTTTCAGTGCGATGTAAGAAAATTCGTGTTTTTCATCATTCAAAAAAAACGATGCTATCGAGTTAAAAACGCATATTTAGCGACAGAAATGAATTTATCTTGGATTAACAACCTATTATTCTGCTGAACTTGCCAATGGATAAACCTTTTCTTGAGATTAATAACAATAACACGAGGTAACATTGTTTGGAACAAGATAGTGAAATAGCTATATTGAGAAATCTTTTATTCGAAAAATTGAAAAGTTTCGCATGATTAAAAAAAGATGGTATATCTGTTGGATTGGATTCGAAAGCAATGATTGATATTGAAGATTAATCAATAAAAGTATGTATAAATTAAAATATAATGGTCCTTCGGTAATACTGTTTACAGTCATTCAGATTGAAGGTTAGAAAATAGCAGATGAATCATTCTTGTTTAATACATCTTTTACTTAGCATTGCAAAATGGCGAAATGAAGACATCGACATTATACTGGTTCGATCTAATAAAATCGCTGCACCTGTTTTATATCGATATTCAGTGTTCCAAATACGATTGCTGTTCCTAAGCTTTCAGAAACATTAATCGTGCCTTGTATTTCTATCGCAACTATTTGCTCTTTATCAATATCAGCCAGTGTATATCGTATATTAAAACCCACAAAACCTTCGCCAGTTACTGTCCGCAATTTTCCACCCTCAATGTCCTTCAAAGAAAAGACACTGTTAATGTCACTCATAAGATCCGTTCAATGCTATAATCAATATTATTATCAGAATTCATCACTTCAATAGTTTCGACTTCTGACTAAGTAAATAATTGACCTATTAAAGAACGATATTCAAGTCTAATAGAATGACCTACTGGAATGATGCTAATCAATATCAAAGTAAATATAATTGTAATTGATATGTCACTCAATTTATTATACCAAACTATGATCCTAGAAGAAAAATTGTTTTTCTGCAAATGTCTCGTTTATTCACCTACAAAGAGTGTTGACTCTTGCGACTCAACAGATTCGAAACAGAAAAAATGAATGAGTAACTTTATTTTGGCTTGCTTTATGCATATAATGTATCGATATAACTGATTCAAATACATATATGGCAATTGTATTCTCGAGTTTCTTATCTAAAACAATGAAAATAGTTGGAAGAAACCATTTTTGAATCGAGTATACTTGGTTTTATTTGCTCATTAAACTGGCCATTAAGAAAGTATGAAATGAGAATATTGACAAAAACGAATAATGTTTTCATTGTTTTTCACTAAATTAGATCGATGGTGCCTTATATGATTAATAATCATTGGTGATATGATCTTTCTTTGAATAGTAATTGATTCAGGTTTACTGTAGATGTGATAGAAGCAACTACAACGCGTTTTTCCTGACACTTGAATAGTTTTCATCAGGTTGCTAAACAGTTCTCGATTGATGAAATTCAAATTCCAACAGAAATTCAAAGTGTCACAGCTAAATTCATGGCGAATCAGATTGATCTATTTCTTCATGAAGAAGTCAGTTTCAAATGGATTTCTCCTAGCATATATGCTTTTCAGTGGTCGAAATAATTATGAAGTGCAAAGGATGTGCATAATAAAATGACGAAGAAAAAAAATTGAAGACTTAGTTTCTTCGAAGCCTTTCGTTTTATTCATCTTAATACAAACACGCAATAAGACTCTGCCTAACAAAGTTGAGCTCTTGGTGATGTTTAGAGTTAGACATTAGCAGTCAAGGAAAAATAGAATGAGAAGATAATAAAGAACGGGAAAATGCCGACATCAAGCTTTTAAATTTTTGGACTAGTTAGAAAAACTATATTTTCAAATGAAGACCATTTTTTTTATGTACGATGCAGAATTCTTAAAATTCGGTATGAATTTGGTATCTGTTACGCCTATATTAATGAACTACATTAATCATTTTTAGAGAATAACTTTGTAAATATCGTATTTGTGAGTTCATAATGAATATAGATGTTTTTGTTTAACTCATAATAATTAGTTTACTGGTAACTAGTTACTTACAGCAGCATAATTTTCAAAATCACTGATGAAAGTTCCGTCACAACTGTTAAGTAAAAAAAAGAAAAATCTAGTTTCAGAAAACTATCGGCGAATTATGGTTAAGGAGGGTGAAATTAAATTTACAAAAAACTTTTAATCAATAAATAAACCTTTTCCAGTTGAAAATTTTAATTTTAAATAAACTAACTGAAAAATTCCACAGCTAATTTCGATTATCGCACACTATTCGTCGTATATCCAGTTAGTTAACCTTTGGTTAAACGGTTAGCTCAACACGTTTCTTATAGGCAGTCTTCAATAGTCTAGTAGCAAGTGAATTTTTTCATCAAGCCGTAGTTTTGTAAAATAAAGCGCACGATACCTGATACAACAATTTGTATGATTTCGGTGAATAATTAAAATAAAGACATACTGACGAGATTGAATTACTAACTTTTGTTTTAATTAGTTTCATCGTCGGTCAAATGCATTTGTTTGTATTTTTTGCAATATTACGTGCTTGTTTTTTGTTTGACGATCGAAAAAACGAAAGAAAATATGAAAATAATAAGTATACTTGCAATATAGATTCATTTATAGTCTGAAATATTTTCCCTTGATATGATGACATGGCTTCAATTCAGAAGTATTTAGTTCATTACAAACGACGGAGAGACTCATTTAAAAGTTTTAGTGTTCAAGTGTTAAACTCTTCAAATATTTGACTTCTTTTTCATAGAGACACATGTGCTCCTCGCTTGATGCTGAAGTAAAAAAAAAGACAAATATATTGTGTCTCCTTCTAGCTGGATCTCTTAGTAATAGAATATACTGCATCCGTGAACAGTTGAACTGTGATTTCAAGTTTGTCACTATCACAAATAAAATGATTATGAATCATGAGTAACTCATACTAACTCTGGTAACCCTACAGTTCATATTCGAGTGAATCTTATTATTAATAATAGTCTCGTGTCGAGTTTTAATCAAGCTTGTTGTGGCGAGTGCGTTTCATTGTGTATTATTTCTTATAAATAGCTCACAATACCTGGTCCAAACATTCGTAAAATAATTTCTATAGTTTCGAGAAATAATCAAAAAGAAGTAAGCCGAGTGCACGAATTTACAATTTTCTTTTTCTTTACTTTAGAAACATCTACTGTCATCGCGGCTGCTTCTTATTGTTGTTGTTCGCAATAGTATTGTGTTTATTTTCTCTTAGAATCAAATAATTTGTGATACATCGAAATAATCGATATTTTTCATTAACATTAGAATATTATTATGCCAACACAGTCACTTGATCAAGAATCGATACACAGTGATACATTACAACTAAGTATTTGGCCGAATGATCCAAATCGAAGTTTGTCGTCAAATAGTAATCAATTCGAATCATCCCTATTTACCAAGTCGCAAGCTTGGGATAAACCAGAAAATGCAAATAATGGTAACAGATTTTTCAAATTCAAGTAAGACTCAGTCAAAGGAATCTTAAATGACACTGTATCCTTGAATGTTTTTGATAGACGAGCTGGTGGCTATGGAGAGCTCTGCTGCTGTTCAAATTATAATGGTTGTATTGTTGGATTAGTTATTGGGTTATTACTGGGTGGAGTTTGTTTAGCTACTATTCTAGCCATGTGGCTAACAACAAGTAAGAACGTGGCACATGTAGTGTAATGCATCAATGCAAAACACACAGGGAAAAATTGTATTTTTTTGTTTGCCATCATATGTAGCATGAGGAATATAACTGCAAATTTCGATCTTATGGTTATTTCAAATAAGCTAAATTTCATAAATTACTGTACAGTTTGAAATAATAGTGAAATTTTAGGTGCGATCACCACAACGGCTACCGTTGCAACTACGACAACAAGTTTTATTTATGCCCTTTATACATATTAGATATTATTTTAAGAATAATTGTAGGTAGTACAACAACAACAACCAGCACTACAATAACAACGACAACGATCACTACAACAACAACGACAACGGTCACTACAACAACAACAACAACAACGATCACTACAACAACAACAACCAGCACTACAACAACCAGCACAACAACTACAACGACGACCACCAGCACTACAACAACAACGGAAACGAGCACCACAACAACAACAACTACAGCCAGCACTACTACAACGGACACATCTACAAGTATTTGTAATAAAAATAGACAGCGCAGTCTCTCTTTTAGCTAAAGTATGAAACTAGCGTAGAATCACCGACAAAAAAGATTCGATTTTGAAGATGCACAAAATTTTCTTGGAGAAAAGTGCAGATCGGAAGCAATGCATTTTGGATATGTTCTATATTCTAGTAGATATTTTTCAATTGCTACTAAGCTGCTACTCTCAGCTATTAAAGTTTTTGATTTTCTTTTATAGCCATCTACTCTTTTAAGAGGGTGAGCGATAGGTCCAATTAAATAGACGGCAAAACTCGAACGTATATCCATGCTCTTATCTATGAGGCATCATGCTGATTTTTGAGGAGTTGATGCATTAGGAATAAATCGCTCCCCTTCACTTAAGTTTTCAAGCTATTATGATGACCTCAAGAAGTACTGATACATGAGTCTCCAAGTCAGTGTTAATCTGTTGAATTTTTTCTTGAATATCTGACCAACGATCATCACTCTGAAGGGGAGGTGCATGAAGATGAGTCATTCATGTTATGGTCAGTCGCAATAGGTATATAGAAGGTATCTAAAATGCACGAAGTCTCTAATGTGAACGAAAAACGAGAGAATTTTCGGATAAAAACCTACGGCCACTATTTTCACAGGAAATCTTCTATTTTTCTAATACTACACTTTTATTTCAGCTACAACAGTTAACCCAACGACTTGCACAATCGGAGGTAAGATCTCTATTTATAAAGAGCTGCAGACTGTACCATATATAAAGCACATATGCTAATGACAAAATATAAGATTAATCATACGTCGATATTTCAAAGTCAATTCGGATTGATAAAATTTTATGTTCTCTGGCAGGAGCAAATGATTAGGGTGTTATATAAAAGTTGATAGTACTATATTTTATATGCATCTAGATTAAAATAAAATGTTCAACATTAATATATTAGTAATAGCAATTTCCTTCAAACATGAACACATCATTTGAAGAGATTAAAAGCCACTATTTATCGTGTAACAAAAAGAAAATGAAAGGTTTGAATGAAATTTATCAAAACTAGACAATTTGAGGGTAATATTCAGTAATTGCTTTTTAATGATTCATTTTCGAGTGTCTGGTATGCTCTATCAGTGCTTCATAGGTCATTTTCTGAAAATCCACATTTAATATCCACTCACTTGCATTCTTACTGCGAAAAAAATGGTTCTCATCATTTAGCTTGCTCACTGACTGAGACAGTTCTTGATTTTGACGCTGGTGGTGTATTACCAGTTGGCTATGGAAATTTTACATGGACTGGTGCTAATATATTGGATGGTGCTACCTATAATCCGATGAGCGGTTATCATGTAGTTGTTTGTGGTGGCCCATATGTTATCTTTACATCGGGTACCATTACAATGAAAAGGATTCCAACGGGCACAACATTCGGTTTGAACTCATTCTTAGCCACAGCTGCCTGGTATGTAGAGACCATCGGGTCGAGGAATTTTTGAGCCCGTACCCGAACCCGTACCCGGTATTTTCAAATTTTCGTGCCCGAGTACCGCCCGAGCCCGTTGGCAAAATTTCCAGACCCGAACCCGAGCCCGGTGAAAATTTGCTGATACCCGAAATTTGACCCGACTTGTTGCGCCATCTATCTTTAACAACGACGAATTGTTAGAAATTACTTAGCTATAATTGGCTGTCTTTCTCAGCATGTAACATCTCACATTAGAATAAAGTTGTTGCTTCTTTGTAAATATTTTCGTTTGTTTAATAATACTGTACCATACTATTACCATCGACACCGACCTTTGTTTTTAACGTTATTAAGAATATTAAATCGAAGAACATCATGGATAAATCAACCAAGAAGACAAGAATCCAACAGCTGATAAATGACGATTCAAAATCAATTTCATTTTTTAAACCGAAGGAATCTCCAAAAAGATCAATTGTTTGGCAATCTTTTAGTATAATTTGTGTCGATGGTAAAAAACAAGAAATAGTTTCATGTGATAAATGTAAACAATTGATGGCTTATCGAGCAAGAGATGGTACTAATTCGTTAGCAAGGCACACACGTTCATGCAAAAATGAATCGTCTATTCCCAGCAGCAATTCCTCCAACCAAAACCAGGTTACTGATTATTTTTCTTCATCCAAAACATCGATTATACCAAAGAAAATAAAAGATAGAGTGAAGATTGGATGTGTTGAATTTATTGCATTAGATTCCCGACCATTCGAAACCGTTTCTGGAGAAGGCTTTATGAAATTGGCTCAATCTTTGTTTGATGCGGGCAAATATTTTAGTCCAACATCAACTGTTAATTTAAAGGATTTAATACCGTCACCAGTTACGGTAAATTTCTTTAATCAGACAAACATAATTTTATCTATCTGTTCTATTCTAGGTTAGTCGCAATGTTGAGGATCTCTACAAAAAGAAACAATCAGAATTAGCAAAATTATGTATCAATATAAAGTATTATTGCATAATTTGTGATTTCTGGACGGAGCGTTATACAGGTAAAAGAGTTATCATTAAAGTTCCAGAGAGTAGACGCAGCTTTACTTTAGTTATCACGTATTGATCTTGTAATAGCTTAATCATTTTACAAATGATATTTTATGACATATAAATTCAATTTGAATGTTTTATCTCAAAGAAGTTATTTATAAATAGTAGCTAACTGTAGAGACTTGCATCACATTAATTCTGTCGATACTGAATAGATCAGCAGATTTTAAATATTTCATTAGTAAGACACAAGCACTAACTATACATATAAGTATATCAAGAACTTATTGACGTTTTTTAACGTGTATTTGAATTTCTTCTACATTAAATTTCATGTTTCTCTTTGTTTTTAGGATTATCATATTGTGGTTTAGCATTACGCTATATAACGATTGACTATCGAATCAATAACTTTATTCTTGGTTGTTTCTTGTACGATATTCAAACACAATCAGCTAGCAATGTTCGTACATTTGTGGAGAATAAATTAGTTTCATTTGGATTAGTTTTGAACAGTAATGTGTTCGTCGTAACTGACAATGAGAATAAGATGCGTGCAGCATTTAAAGACAAATGCATACGCATTGGTTGTTCAATCCATTACCTTAATAAGCAATTGGAACATTCTTTTACTTCAGAAGAGATCGAAAAACAAACTGTTAAATGCGACAAGGTTCAACATCTATTCGAAAATGTTAAAAAAGTTGCTACGCATGTCCGAAGAACTCATCGACAAGTAAAGTTAAGTCGAAAAGTACAACTGTATTCAGATACTCGTTTCAATGGTGCATTTCATATGTTAAACGTGTTTCTCAAGGTATTCGATGATATTGGTGTAGTGTTGAATAACAATTATTTGAGTTATTTCACTGTTATTGACAAAGAATTATTAGAAGAAGTATGTAAATTTTTGGAGCTGTTTGAAGAAGTGATTAATAAGTTAAGTCAAGAAGAACGTCCCACAATATATATGGTCATTCCGCTTCGGCAACTATTGATAAATCATTGTGAACCACAATTTGAAGACACTGCTGAATTAAAAGAGTTAAAAGTATTTCTAGGTAAGTGGACATGAGAAAATTTAATAGTAGCATTAAAAGTTGGAATAATGTTTTTAATTAATTTTATCAATTCGAGATTTCTGAGTACATGAAGTTCTGTATGTAGATTTATTTTCTACACATTATACATTAAAACTATTGCGTTTTATTTATAAAAAAATTTTCATCTCATTTCAGGAAATCGAATTAAGTCGGCGTGGATTCCTCAAGAACAACATTATATTTGTACATTACTTCATCCTTCATTAAAACATTTTCATGCAGCTCCAAATGAAAAAAACAAAGCACTAAAAATCATTAGAAAAGAATTGTTATCACGAACATCTAATGTTATTTCAGCTACTGGTAAATCTCCAACAGCAGTCTCTCGTGATGTAACGAATACAGTCGATAATGTTGAAAATAGCGTCAACAATTTATTAACTCGTTGTTTTGACAAAGTAACACCAGAAATTCGTCCGGTCCAATCACCACTCAAGGAGCTAGACGAGTACATGATTTCTACAAAAACAATTTCTGAAACGGATGACATTTTGTTATTTTGGAAAAATCAAGAAGAACAATATCCGACATTATCAACTATTGTACGTGAACTTTTTTCAATACCAGCCTCCAACACAATAGTAGAAAGGTTATTTTCTGCATCCAAAATTATCGTTAATGATAAAAGAACCAATTTATCACACGAAAAACTCAATCAACTGTTGTTTCTAAAGAAAAATTCAACCCGATTAAAAGAGATACACAATGAAAATTTAAGCAATAGCCAAACGCAATCAAGAAAAAAAACATTAATATCCGGTGAAGATGTTCAAACAGTATGTGCTAATGATCAAATGAACAATTCTATTTTGTCCTTAAATGAAAATGATCAAAGTAATAATGACGACGACGATGATCCAACTCAAGATTTCCAGGACGACAACAAAAATAGTATCGACATTGATAATATATTTGTAAATTTATAGTCACTAAATGTAAATTAAGTCAAGATATTATACTCAAGTGTTTTGTTGTATATTTTTCGATTTTTTAAATAAATTAAGTATATTTTGATGAAATATTACATAAGTAATCATAGAATAAGAACTTTTTAGTTTGCTCAGCAGTTTCTTTGCTTAAAAAAGTCACTGAAAAACATTTTTTCTTCGGATAATTCTGAAAAAATTTCTAAGGCCCGAACCCGAACCCGGGCCCGTACTTTTAAGAATTTGCTGCCCGCGCCCTACCCGCGCCCGTGCGGGTACGGGTACGGGTACGGGTTATGGTCGGACCCGATGGTCTCTAGTGTGCAGTGTGGGATGGGTGGGGTGGGTGGGTATGACTATGGCTATTAGTCTTCTCTTTACCCACCCATGCCCACACCCGCAATGATCTAGAGAACCGTAAATGATAGAAAATCCGTTCAAACTAGATATGAAAGTATCGAGATAATTAAAATAACGTCATAAAGTAATCTTAGCCAATAGTCTATTTATTCACATCTGATCTAAGACAGTGAATCATGAAGATAATTAAATCTTCAATCGAAATCGTTCTCGATAATTATGTTGATAAGGAAGAATAGAGTTTTCTCAGTTACGAATTTTGAAATGGTGGATTTTTTTATCTTATTCTCAAGATTTTCGAAAATTCGGTAGGTATGCTTCACAGAGCATTCGTATTCGAGCGAAACTTGAATACCATCTAATTAAAATGACCTCAAGGGGGAACAAAGTGATTTCAAGCACAGAAATCAAATTGAAGTCAATAGAAATCAATAGAAATCACAGAAACCACAGAAGGGTGTGGGTGTGTGGTGTCTATCTCTTTCTCATTGACACCACACCCACACCCACACCATGTTCCCTACAACCTCAGTCATTCTCCGAGCACTTCCGTACATTTACATCAAACTGTCATGTACTCCAAACAATTTGCTTAGCGGTTTGCTTTTTTGTCTCACTTACAGGGAACTCTAAATTCAAATTATACCAAATATCATTAGGATAAAATTTAAACTTTGCCTTTGGCGGTGTGGGTACCTGAGTGCCTTTTTTGTAATTTTCGAAGTGATCTTGTGCAGCTGAAGCTTCATTTATATTCGAATTAGAATTAGACATTTTATTTATAAGTGCTATATGTAACAGAAGGGTATGTATTCAAACTGAGAATACTCTTTTGATTTCGTCGAGGTGATTTTATTTTTGTAGAGGTGTTGGATTCTGCAAAACTCAATTTATCACATATTTTGAAAAAATGAATTGTTTTTTTGTTTGTTTCATTATCAATCGAAAGAGAGGAACATCAAAGACTATCTTTTGAGTTTTCTTTCAATAGGAAGAATGTGAATGTCTCGTGTCGAGACAATTCATAGAAAGAGAAAGAGAAGAAAAAACATCACAATGCACGCGAGAGTCTATTGGAGAGAAAATCGTTGCACACGATGATTATCTTTATCGGTGACATAGAGATTCCCATATTGATCGAAAGACAAACCAGTGGGGATATTGAACTGATTTGCTCCTGCTCCTCGACCTTCACCATTTCTACCCATAATTACAGTGCCTTGTTTACCTCCTTGAGTCCAACGCATTACACGATGATTTGCCGAGTCTGCCACATAGAGTGTACCCAACGTATCGACGAAGAGTCCTTGAGGATAATACAATTGTCTCAGAGCATTCCCTGCGTCTTGACCCCCAGCGACGACAATGCCTTCTTTTGCATCTTTATTCCATTTCATTACACGATGATTCCAGTGGTCTGACACGTAGACATTCTGTTGTCGATCGACAAAGAGATAACCCGGATTGTTGAGTTGATTAAGATCATTACCTTTGCCATTGCCACCAGCCACGAGAGTGCCATTCTTGTCTCCCAACTGATATCGTCTTACTTCATGTTTTTTGGTGTCAGAGACGTAGAGATATCTCTGATCGTCCATAGCTAATCCTCTACAATCGATGTTGTCGATGATGATTTCTCCTTGTGTTGTGTCACTACGACGAGACCATCTTACAACTCGTCGATTTCTGTAATCGCAAATAAGGAGACTATCCGCCTCTTTGTCAATCAATACATCAGTTGGGTAATCCAATTCATCTAATTGACTTCCTTGACCTTTACCACCCGCAACGACTTGTCCATTCGTCGTATCACCTTTCTTCCATTGCATGATACGATGATTGTAGTAGTCAGCAATGGCCACTGCTTGATCATCAGCAAGGCAGAGACCTTCAGGGCCTTAGAGTTGATGGATGGCATTGCCTTCCCCGTTGCCCCCAGCAACAGTCACTCCATTCTGTGTCCATTTGACATTCGCAGGAATAGTGGGTATAACTATAAGAAATCATGGAAATCTTCATCATCTCGGTCACTTGGTAGTATTAGAAATATCGACATGGAAAATGTAAAAAGAACTCTCAAGAAAAAGCTTTGCTCAATTTGATGTAGATTGAGAATACCCTTGTCGATCTAGTTGCTTGTTTGTCTTGGATGGATTCAAGAAGATTCTTAAGTTTTTTTTGGTTCGACAGGAAACATGAGAACATTGGAGAGAACTCTTCCAATGTAAAATTCTAAGAATGATACAAGAGAAGGATTTGAAAGGAGGCCAGGGAATTCTTGGATCAAGATTGAATTTTACTTCATTTTGACTAGCAGTGCGACTTATGAGAAGGTAATCTAGTGTAAGGAAGAATTCTTTTCTTTTGCTCCCTTGAGATGAGCTACAGTAGGGTGCAAAAGTCTTTGTCTCTCGTTTGTGCCAATTTTCTCGAAGCATACTTTAGAGAGTTTGTGACAGAGTTTTTCGAGGGCAGCGTTAACAGTAAGGAAGTATCAAAGTATCTCATGGAAACATGAACACCTAGAAGATAATTTTATTCGTGGAGAAAATGTCTCATGATTGAATGATCACACATGAGAAATGTTTTCCCATTGTAAGCTTTTTTTAAGCGACTTTTATTGACTTCCGGTGATATAAAGAACCTTAAATCGCTTAAAATTGTTCATATTTAGCTATTTCAAGTCGCTTTCTTGATTACAGCACTTTTGACTGCTTATTCTTTATATATTGCGCTTAAAAGTACTACTCAGGTTTCTCTTTTATTGAAGTACTGATCAGCACACTGATCAACTATTCCTTACAAAAACGATTCCAATTTTTCTTATGTATGAACTTTAATGACTCATTATCTTCAAGGAGTTAACTATTTTTGTGTCCTTTAGTATCGAGAATCAATATAAAATTCACTACATTATCTCATGAATTATCTTTATGTCGTATCTAAAGATAGATAAAGTATATGAATCAACGGAATAAAATTAAATGGAGATATTTTCTCATTCATATAACAGAAAGATTTTATATTAGAACCTTGAGGATGAAAAATTTTGATGACATCATTTTCTTAGAGGAACATGATCCACTTTTATCCTCAAAAGTTTTTATAATGTAATAGCCTACGATATCACAAGCAATAAAGTTAAAATAACGTCTATACAAGGCACTGTAATTCATTTTCACTTCTCATTCTTACATATAATTTTCACTGAGTCAGCCATTGGGCCCTTTTATTGATTTGCTTTGTCTCGATATTGAATTTTAAAACAGTTCAGTGTATCTACTTTTACTGTTTCTTCGCTTTGAAAAATTAAGAAAAAAAGTTAGTTATCTTCATCCGCATCTCATTAGATTTATATTAATTGTCATACGGTAACTGATAACTATTTCTAGCACACTTTCACTGTGTGTTTCCTTTCAGAAAGCGCTCAATGGTAATTTCTCGAAGTCTTCGTCGGTGAGTTTTTTTAGTATAAGGTAGTTTTTCACAATAAGATCTGCTTGAATAAATACCACCGAAAATTATTTTGATTCAAAGAAAATTTGACGGTCAAATGAAGCGCAAACGGCTTTACGAAAAAGATATTGCATTGAAGTATTGTGCCCATTGAATATTTCGCAAGATTTTATTGGAATTTTGTTTTGGAAAGACACTTCAATTGGAAAAAATCCAACATAAAAATTAAGAGAAAAAAAATAGTAGGGGAAAATCTCTCGAATGCGATCTGATTATTGAAATCGAAAAATAATCTAATAATAAGTACTGTCAAAAAGCCAATGAAATGAGTAAAAAAAAAGTATGATAATATATCGATGGAAATTTAATAATTTTTGGTTTTGATGCTTAGGTTCAAGCAATTTTTTAGTGGTGAAATCTTGGCTGAAATATTCAATTTTAAGTACTTTTAATTGCTTAAAATGTACGCTTATTAAGTAAAACTTTTAACAGATCTAAGCTAGCTTTTTCGCCGAAATTTTCACATGAGTATGAAGCTTGCTTTCACATGAATTCAGTTGTTGGTTGTCTTAGATGGTGTATTGGGTTGAAGTAACTTATAAGCATACTAGTCTGCTTGCTTGTTTTCGATATTTTATAAATTGAGCATTGTTGCTGAACACTCAGTTTTTGTCAGTAACTGTATTCATAGCAAGAAGAGCATAATTCAGTTTAGAAGATTTACATCAGATTTGATATTGTCTATACTATAGATGATAGATTGAGTTGAATAGTCGCACTTTTACGAGTTATCAAACGACACTATATACGTATATTATTCATGTCTTTATTTGAATGTTTTTTTTCTCTCAACTATATGAAGTAGCATATACGATATATGAAAATTTTTATACCTTCCACATATAAATGAACTATCTGATCTCGCGAACCTCATTTGAAATGCTTTGTAACAGAGCTTTCTAGAAAAAAATTATATCTCACCGTGTTTTCCTATTGTTTGAATAGACGTAGAAAAATTATAAAATATTCAGCAATTTTCTACGATTAATGGTCATAATTGAATGTATGCGTTTCATCCATCCTAATTATATAAAAATAAAAGCAACTGAGAAAACACTTAATTTCTGTTGTCGAACTAATTGTTCTGTGTCTTTCTCTGATAATTATTGATTGGCTTATGTTAAATATCAATGGCTAAAATTAGAAATCATCTTTGAAAAGCTTTTTCATATATTTGATCTGCATTTTTTTTGCGAGATATTCATTTTAAAATATCATTTCTCAAAGGTAACATTAATGTATCTCATCAATAATTCAATCATTTATTGAAAATATTCATCAAACTATAGACAGTCTAAGAATAATTATATGTTTAAAGCTGATTTCACCATCAACAAACTAAACTATTTCCATTTGATCGAGTCAATATAAGAAAATAGTTATGTTAGTAATCAGTAACAGTATCTTAATGTGAAATACAATTGTACTGCTAATTGTGATAGCTGAAGAAAACTGTATCATCTTATGAAAGAATCAAAGTCGCTTTTTTTCTTATCTTATGGTTACGAGAAAAAAGGTTGCTAACTTCATTTCAATTCATTTCTATGAATGCTTTTTGGAAAATAATTATTCTATAGTCTGACTATTTGGTTCAAAAACTTATTTCACCAAGTCTTCTCTTGATTTCCCTATTTTATACTTGTACTTCGGTGTTAATTTGTTTTTGTTGAGAAAAAATAAAGTTTCATGAAAAACAATTTTCGAACAACACTATTTGTAATTGCCTATCGTCATATACCAATGCAAAGTAAAATGGATGCTATTTAAAATTTCATTATAAAGAAAGTAAATGAATAGATTCACAAAATACTTCTGTTTTCTTTTCGCTGCATATAAAAGCACATTAGAAATAATTATAACCAGATTTTCTTTCTTGTTATTGAAAAAGAACAAGCTAGTTAGATATAAAGAAATCGATTTCAAATGAATCTGAAGGCTCTGTCTCACTGTTTGTTTTTATTTTCTTAAAATCATCCAAAAGCTAGTTTCACTATTCTATCCGATAAAAATTGACTCGTTATCAAAAAGTAACATGTTTATTTATGATACAGATAATATCACTTCAGTTCGATTATATTCTAAAATCGTTATCGATCATTTTCTAATTGTGGTAATATTATTAGAACAGTGCTGTATAAATTTCTTTTTGTAAATATATCAAGTCTTGTTCGAATCAAATCAAAATTTTTTCACGTTGGATTGAACTGTCTTAAAATTATTAAAGATATTTTGAAACAAAAACATTAAAATAGAATGATCTAAACAAAAATTCTCTGAAAAATGAACGATTTTCTTCATGTTAACAGAATGAATATATGTTGTGGTCAGAATTGAAATTCAGTCAAATTTAAAATTTGACCAGTCAAAATTGAAATTTTAATTTTGCCTAGGCAGAATTGAAACTTTAATTTTGACTGACATTCTATCAGTCAAAATTGTAATTTTATTTTTGACTAGACAAAATTACAATTTTGTGTTAATGAGTAGAAGAAAAAAAGAAAGACGCGTACAATTAAAGTATCAACAATTTCTCTTATTTCACAGTAGTTTTTAACTAATATCATAGAAGTTCTAGAATAATTTAATCCATGTTTGAACAGCCACCCCTCTTTGAATGGCATTTTGTAGAGCAAAAAACATTTTCTCTTTTGCATGGGCATATTTTCGTTGCGCATTTGCCTCGACAATTGCAAGTCTGTCCAGTTGTCGAACCACGAGAATATAGTTTTGTAGCTGCAATAATGGTGATTGGTTTAAGATTACTAATATCTAAATTTTTTAATTCATTGGGGCAGGCTTCTTTCAAATTCACAAATTGTCCAGCTTCAAATGTATGATCCAAAATTCCATATTGACAAATTAATTTAAATAAGAAGATATTATTTTTTTCAAATTTTTCACTAATAATACAAGGCAAGTACTTTGGATCCGTATTTGTTCGATCAGCTGAATGAATTTCAATACCAACACAATCATTCAAATCAAAATTATTTGCAACGAGTTTAATGCTATCTTGATGTAATTTCATTTTTTTATTAGCAGTTGCTAAATAATGATCTGTAGCAGCTTTACGAATCGTGGAATGTTTTGTTGATGTTGTTGTTTTAGTTGAAGATGCTGCTGGTGCATTAATTAATGAAATTGAAGAAACATTATCAGATAATTGACGAACAAGATCAACAATATCAGTATCGACTACTTCATCTAAATTAATTGGATTATCATCTCTATCTTCAATTAAATCATCATTTAATTCATCGATAGGAGTTGGCAAATCCTCTTCATCATCGATACCACTTTGATGTACTAACTTCCAAAAATCCGAATCAGAACGAGGTTGCTGCCCGAACATTACTTCATAAGGTGTTGCTTTGGTGACAGTAGACTTTCGAGTATTTAAACCATAGACCACAGGTAATAAACCATAAGACCAATTGGATGAATTGTTAGTACACATCCATTTGCCGAGAGCATCACACAAAACTCCATTTGCACGTTCGATGCATCCTTGGCTTTGTGGATGCCTCGGCCTACCGCGAATAAAACATAAATCTCGAAAAAGAACTTTTAATTCCGTAATAACACTTGATACAAATTCACGACCATTATCACTATGAAGTAATCGTGGCGGTCCAAATACAAAAAATAATTCACGTAATCTAGTAGCAACTTCATCAGCAGATTTGGTTTTCAATGGAAATGCCCACGAAAATTTACTAAAATGATCGATACAATTTAAAATCCAACAGTAAACAAGATCAGATGATATTTTATCAGGCCGTGTTCTCATATCGATGAGATCGATTTGAAGACGTGTCATTACACCTAATGAAATAATTGGTTTTGATGCGACATGTTGTTTAATTGGTTTCCTTGTTTGACATGGAATACATTGTTTCAAGAATATTTCAATACAAAACCGAGGAATCCAAGAATATTGAGAATTTAACTCAGAACTGGTCTTCTCGCGACCACCATGTGAAACATTAGTATGTGCTTCATTTATAACATTGTAAAATGCTTCATAAACACAAACTGGCTTTTTTAATTTTGCACAAACAACAATATCAATACCAGCTACTTTAATCAAGAGAAATTTCTGTTTCGACCAATAAACAAATGCTGATGAATATGGATCACTGGATGTACCTTTCGGTAATAGCAAACATTTCAAAATGTCGTTATAAACTTGCTGTTTAATAACACTTTTATCACGAAATTTTTTACTCAATGAATTAATATATTTATCTACATTTTCATAAAAATTCTTCTCATTATTATCTTGAACAGTGCTTGCACCCGTCTCCATTATTTTTTATAATTATGATATTATGTGTGCAAGTATCTATATATAAGTATAGCCAACAGATGAAAGAAAGAAAGAACAATTAAGATAAAACATTTTATCTTCTTCTACTCATTAACACAAGATTGTAATTTTGTCTAGTCAAAAATAAAATTACAATTTTGACTGATAGAATGTCAGTCAAAATTAAAGTTTCAATTCTGCCTAGGCAAAATTAAAATTTCAATTTTGACTGGTCAAATTTAAAATTTGACTGAATTTCAATTCTGACCACAACATATACATATGTGGAATGATAAAATCTAAAGATCGTGGAATATTTGGAATACATTTATGACGTTCTCGACTAAAAGCAGCTTCTAAATTTAAATTTAAATGAAAATACGAATTTCAAAAGAAACGAATTAAGAATTTACTCATATGTTGTGGATGTGTTGATAGTTGCTGTGCTTCTGAGGATAAATTTATCTTTCTCATTTCTTGTTCAATAAGCAGAGCAACTGGTGTTAATTCTTCACGAAGACGTCGTTTAACTTGTGCTCTAAATACTCGAATCTCTTGTTTTGCAATCGAACGCCCATGAAGATGATGAATTTCTTCTTCAGTAATTATTGAATGTCCACCAGTACTAATATTTCTGGTTGTGATGAGTGTTGCGGACCAAAAGCGAGTCTCACATCTCGAATAATATTGTACTTTAGCCTCTTTATTTAAAGGGTAGCTATATTCATTCATCATTAGAAGGTTGTTGGTGATGTTTCCTTTCTTGTAGCATGTTATATTCTTCTTGTTCTTTCTTTGTTTCTTTCTTGCTTCTTTCTCGCTACATTCTTCCTTCCTTTCTTCTTTCTTACTACATTCGTTCTTTATATGATTGGACATTGTTTTGTCCTTATTCTTTTTGTTGTGTGTTCTGTCAAGGTCAATCACAAGACGAACAATGGCCTGACTATTTTTATTGCGTAATAGAAAATTACGCAATATTATTTTCCTTGCGCTTTATATATATCGAAGATATATAAAATACGGTCAGATAAGTTGTTATCCGTGATTGTATACAATTCTATCGTTAGGAATTGTTTTAGTAATTTGTTCTTGTTGTTATTTCAAAACGTGAAATAAAAACATATATAAAACTTCGTTCTTATATATACAAGGGCAAATCTACATTGGCGACGAGAGTTTTTTCCTTCTTTAATTCAATGTTGACTCTTCCAACACAAGACAATTCTTTTCTGCTTACTCGTCCAATTCATTCATAAATTATATTCGTGATATATAATTATATATGGCTAAGTCGATGCCGACACCCACATTTCAATCACCAGCAATTTCTTCAATTCCTGCACTTCATGCTTTTGATTCTCATAGTAGTACTTGGCAATCTTCTCGGGATCGTATTAACTTTTATTTCAAAGCAAATCGCATTGAAACCGATGAAGATAAAAAAAAGCCTTGTTTCTATGGTCTGTTGGTGATACAACTTATAATTTATTAGAGTCATTAATTTCTCCACGATTATTAACCGATGATGATACTAAATTCATCGATGTGATTAAACTATTAGATGTGCATTATGATGCAAAAAGAAATATAATGACTTCTACGTATGATTTCTATTCTTGTTATCAAAAATCCGGTCAACCATTCGCTGAATGGAAAGCGGAATTATGCGAAAAGCTTCGTCATTGTGCTTTTACCACATCAGCTTTACATCGTAGACCGCAAGACCGTGCACTTCGTGATATGTATGCGATAGGAGCTAATAGCAATAAAGTTCGACAAGCATTACTTAAGGAACAAGATCCTGATTTAGAAACAACTGAAAAGATAACCCAATTAGCTGAACGTTTGGAAGAAGATGTTCGTCATTTTTCTGCTCCAAATAATCATAATGACTATTCAGTGGCCAAGCTACACAACCGTCAACGACACCAAAAACAACCAGATCATAATTCATTTAAAAAAGATAATTATAAAGCATGTGAAACATGCGGATCAAATAAACATCTTCGATCAAAATGCAAATATCGTGAGTTTATTTGTAATTTTTGTAAACGATCTGGTCATTTAGAACGAATATGCAGACAAAGAAATGAAAAACAAAATTCAACCAAACACATAACTACAATTTTTAAATTAAATAATCTTGATCGAATTGAACAACTTAATAATTATTCATGTACTGTGCCATTGAAAGTCAATGATCATGATATTGATTTTGAATTAGATACTGGAACATTTAATACAATTATTAGTATCTACGATTGGTATAAATTGGGATCACCTACTATTCATCCATCTCAATTAGAATTGAAATGTTATAGTGGAGCACGTATTAAAATTAAAGGTGAATGTTATGTTACAGTTCAATATCAAAACAAAAATTTTCAATTATTAATGATAATTGTTAATGGTAAAAGTGAACCACTTCTTGGTCTTAAATGGATTAACATATTACAACTGGACTTAAACAGTCTTATTCATACACGAATTCCTATTGAACATCACATTAACAAGGCATATGATGTTTCAAAACTTCATTTAACATTAAAAAAATTATGAAAATATGTTAAATAAAAAGCTTGGACATTGTACTAAAGTTCAAGCTCATATTCAACTGAAATCTGATGCTATACCAAAATTTTTCAAACCACGGCCAATACCATTTGCATATCTTACAGGTGTTAAAGAAGAAATTGAACGTAATGTTAATGCTGGTATTTTAGAACGTATTGATGCTTCGCCTTGGGCAGCACCAATAGTTCCAATTAAAAAACCAAATGGTAAAATTCGAATTTGTGGCGACTTCAAAGTTACAATTAATGCTCAAATATTAGTTGATCAACATCCAATTCCATCAATTGATGAACTTCTGTCTCGACTTAATAATGGTGAAAAATTTACAAAATTAGATTTATCAGATGCTTATCTTCAAGTAGAATTAGACGAACAAAGTAAAAGTCTAGTTGTTATTAATACACCATTGGGTTTATTTCGATACAATCGTATGCCATTCGGTATTTCAAATGCACCGGCAATTTTTCAAAGAATTATTGATCAAGTAATTGCTGGTATTTCAAATTCAATTGCGTATCTTGACGATATATTAATTACTGGTAAAAATGAAGAAGAACATTTGCAAACACTTGAAATGGTTCTTAAACGTTTATCAGAATTTGGATTTACATATAATCCAGAAAAATGCTTATTTTTTCAAGATGAAGTTTCATATCTTGGTTTTATAATTGACAAAAACGGAAAACGTCCTGATCCAAGTCGTGTTGAAGCTATTATACATATGCCTGCACCAAAAAATGTTAAAGAAATTGAAGCTTTTATAGGTAAAATTAACTATTATGGAAAATTTATTTCAAATTTTTCACACAAATGTAAACCATTAAATGAATTACGAAAAAAAAATACCCGATGGGTATGGACAAAAGAATGTCAGTCATCATTTGAATGTCTTTTACATGAAATTTCGAAAACAACTACATTAGTACACTGTGATCATCGATTACCACTTATTTTAGCTACAGATGCTTCAAATTATGGTTTAGGAGCTGTTCTTTTACATCGTTATTCTGATGGTTCAGAAAAACCAATAGCTCATGCTTCAAAAACATTAAAAAATACGGAACGTAATTATAGTCAAATCGAAAAGGAAGCACTTTCAATAATATTTGGTATAAAAAAATTTCATCAATACTTAGCTGGTCGTACATTTGAACTTGTTACTGATCATAAACCTTTATTGTCTATTTTTAATCCAACAAAAGGTATACCAGTAACAACAGCAAACAGGCTTCAACGTTGGGCAATATATCTTATGGGATATAATTATAGCATACGTTATAAACCTACGAAATTACATGGAAATGCTGATGCATTATCAAGATTACGAATACCATATAATAATTCATTTATTGACAGTGATGCAATTCAAATAAATTATATTCAACAACACCTTATTGAACAATGGCCATTAAAACCAGAGGAAATTGCAAAAGCAACCACCAATGATGATATACTTAAACAAGTAAGGCATTTTACTCTTACTAATTGGCCTTCTTCATTTTCTAAATCAACAAATCCAAAATGAATTCCATATTTCAACAATCGTTATTCACTATCTGTCATTAATCGTTGTATTCTATTTGATACTCGTATAATTATACCAAGACAATTACAAGATCGAGTAATTCATATGTTACACCGTGGTCATATCGGTATAATTAAAATGAAACATTTAGCTCGAACTTGTTGTTGGTGGCCAAATATCGACAAGGATATTTCTGATATGATAAAATCTTGTACTATTTGTTCAAAATTACAACCATTACAAAAACCAACATTTAACTCATGGAAGGAACCTAAGCAAGTTTGGTCTCGTTTACACATGGATTTCGCCGGACCAATTATGAATTCCAAATGGTTAATAATAGTTGATGCTAAATCGAAATTTCCAATAGTGGTCGATATGAAAAACAATACATCAGCTAAATATGTACGTGATGCACTTGAACAAGTTATTGATTGGTTTGGTCCTCCACAAACATTAGTTACTGATAATGGTCCACCATTTAATAGTTATGAAATGAAAAAATTTTACGACAAATATGCAATTAAACATATTACATCACCTCCTTATCATCCAGCCAGTAATGGCTTAGCAGAACGATTTGTTCGTTCTTTTAAAGAAGGAATGTTAAAAGAACAACAAGCGGGACAAACAAATAAATTTTGTGCAATTCGAAATGTATTACGATGTTATACTCTGAAAAAAATAAAGGAGGTTTACAGAACCCTCCGAAAAGGTTCTGTAGATTTTCAAAATGCTCCAAATGTGTTCAAAGTCTCAAGAAAAGGATAAAAATTTTGGCAGAGCCTTTTGAAAGTTCTGCGTTTTACCCAAGTGCAGAACCATCTCTTACAGAACCTTTTTTTGCTGTACAGAACCGAAAAAAAGGTTCTNTACAGAACCTTCAAGGTTTCGTATTTTCTCACGGAACCTTTTTTTGCTGTACAGAACCGAAAAAAAGGTTCTGTAAGAGATGGTTCTGCACTTGGGTAAAACGCAGAACCTTCAAAAGGTTGTGTCAAAATTTTTATCCTTTTTTTTGAGACTTTGAACACATTTGGAGCATTTTGAAAATCTGCAGAACCTTTTCGGAGGGTTCTATAAACCTCCTTTATTTTTTTCAGAGCTGTTCTAGGATAATGCAAATAGAATTTTTTTCCACTAAATGACATATCTTTCGATAAGAAATATCAACTTTCGTTCAATCTTCTGAACATAACTAGTTTCAATCATGCTTATTTAGATGAAAGGTTTTCACTTCGTATTGTCAAAAATGCAATTTTACCATTTACTATTTGATTCTTTTTTTTCTATCAACAAAGATGAACTTTTAAGGTGTTCTTTTAGTCTTTTCAAGAATAAACTTGCTATATTGAAATAGTTTTCATTGACTGTTAAATATATGTTGATTTATTTGTTTTCATAATCAAAATTTCTTACCATCACAGGAAGATATTCAATGTATAATTTTCGTTATTTTCTAATGAAAAATGTATGCCAAAGATAACAGATCGTCAATAAATGTTGTCGGTGCATAGACGATGTAACACGACAACATAAAAGATCAATTAGCGGTCTAATCAATATCACAAGATTTGTTTTTTTGTCACTCTTAGGAATGCTTCTGATCTTTACGATCGATTGCACAACAATCAATTAAACCATCAAAAGACCACTTTATGTAGTGAGCGGAATGTTAAATTTTACAAACAGAAATGAAATTCATTTGGTCTCGATTACTTACCAATTGTCTATTTCTTACGAATAACAAAAATGACTATAAATAGTAATGGTTTTCAACGTTAGAAATCATTCCCCATCTTTCTTTCTCTTTTTACTATATTACATGTATATTTTATTTTTTAACTATTTTAGCTTGTATTCATAACTGGCTATGGTTCAATAGCATAGGTAAATATTAGTTTTAGTTCTTTTATTTTATTTTTTTTGTTGTCTCAGCTTTTTATCCCATTTATTTATTTTAATTCTATATAATGATAATTGTCTTTCTATTATCTATTTTAGTGATACAAAAAGTAAGTATAATTTTGTATATATTGTAAATATTTTACGTCTTACGGAGGCCTTCCATACATCGGCGTGAAAACTGGCCAAGCCTATCTTGGTGCCCATAGCACTTACAGGCCGCATATAGATCTTCCTGTTGTATGTTCTATACACGCTAGATCTATGTCTGTACGTGAAGAGTCTTGGCTCTCTGTGGCACCACCAAGGTAGTTCTTGGTCGCGCGAGCGACTATTAGCTGGTAAGCAAAAAAAATAATTTTCTCGTTCCAATCAAATTCATTTCTGCTTATTTCGTTTTATTTCATCTCAATTTCTTCAACAGCAAAGTAAATATGATTACTTTCACTTATCTTATTCCAAACAAATAAAATTAATTGTTATTTTTATGTTTTAGTTCTATTCAACAAACAAATTCAATCCAAACGAAAATAGTTACAACTGTGCATTTTTTTCATGAAGTTTTTTAGTTTTTTGTAGCTTCTGTTGTTTTGATTTTAAAAATAAACATTATTCAAATAACTCAAAAATTTTCTTTTCCTTCCACTAACAAATTAATTTCATTTCAATCATAAATATTTTGTGAAAATAAAACAAATTTTATTTTACTACGAAATATTTTAATTTTTACCAATAAATTATTGTATTTTACTACGAAATATTCTTCAGAAGTCATACAAAATTTTATTTTTTCATTTAAATCATAAATATTTTAGGAAAATAACACAAATTTTATTTTTGATTGTAATAATAAATATTTTCAAAAACACAATTTATTTTTCACTGTAATAATTAATATTTTTTGCGAAAAACAAAAATTCTTTTATTTAATTCATTTCTTTTCATTTAACAAATAAATAAAAGGAGAAGAAAAGAAACATATGACGTAATTTTATATTTGAGCTTTTTTCTTTTCTTTGAAGCGAAAAAGTAAAAGAAAATTTCTTTTTTTTTGTTCATTTATTTCAAAGTATAGAAAAAGAAACGAACAAAGAAAAAACAATTCACAAATCTCATTCGATAGAAAATCGTTGAACACGATTATTACTCATATCGGCGACATAGAGATTACCATGTCGATCGAAAGACAAACCACGGAGGTACTGGAACTGATTTGCTCCTGCTCCTTCACCATTTCCCCCCGCAACTACAGTGCCTTGTTTTGCTCCTTGAGCCCAACGCATTACACGATTGTTCGACGAGTCTGCTACATAGAGAGTATCCAACTTATCAACGAAGATTCCTTCAGGCAAAGACAATTGTGTCAGAGCATTCCCGTAGCCTTGTCCTCCAGCAACCACAATACCTTCTGTTGCACCTTTATTCCATTTCATTACACGATGATTGCAGACGTCTGATACGTATACATTCTGTTGTCGATCGACAAAGAGATAATGCGGCTCGTTGAGTTGATTCAGTCCATTACCTTTACCATTACCACCAGCTACGAGAGTGTAATTCTTCTTACCCAATTGATATCGTCTTACTTCATGTTTTCCGATATAAGAGACGTAGAGATATCTCTGGTCATCTATTGCTAATCCCCAACATTTCATGTTATCGAGGAGTATTTCATCTTGTGTTGTATCACTAAGACGAGACCATCGTACAACTCGTCGATTGTTTCGATCACAAATAATGAGACTATCCGTCTCTTTGTCAATTAATACATCAGTTGGAGCTTCCAATTGACGTAATCTCTTTCCTTTGCCTTTACCACCAGCAACAACTTGTCCATTCGTTGTATCACCGTTCTTCCATTGCATGATACGACCATTGCTGAAGTCAGTAATAACCACTGTTTGATCATCATCAACGAAGAGACCAAAAGGGCTGCTGAGTTGATCAGTGTCATCCCCTCTCCCATTACCTCCAGCAATAGTCACTCCGTTCTGTGCCCATTTAGCATTACCAGGAATATTAACTAGAAAAAAAAACATAAGAATCAAAGGAGATCTCTCTCTCTGCTGGAGTCATAGTATTATTAGAAAAGAAGACATGGAAAGTAGTCTGAAAAGAGCTAATCTCTAGACACGCGTATGATTCTTTTAGCTAAAAAGAAATCCATTTGCTCTCCTGCTGAAACTCGTCCTATCTCTCTGTTGGATGTATTCCAAAAAATAGGAGAGAAACTTTTCCTCACGCGCTTCCAAGATGTGTTAGACAGAAGAGGTATTCTTCCTGATACTCAATCAGGCTTTAAATATAAGTTCAGACTACAAACTCTTTTACTGTTGTTCTTAGAGGACGTTCATAGCTTAATGTCGAATAGTGCCCCGGTCAGTACAATTTTCGTAGATTTCAGGTCAGCGTTCGACCAGCTTTGGCACATAGGTTGTATAGGTAAACTACGTAGATTAGGCATCCCATGCTCCTACCTATATTGGATAGAAGCTTGGCTAATAACTAGACGAGGATACATTGAAATCAATGGTAAAAAGTCGCGGTGGTTTTCAATCGAAAAAGGAGGTCCCCAAGGGGGTATCCTAGCACAATCTCTGTTTATTACCTACCACTGTGACATGGGACAATTCCTACCTTGGTGTACTAGCCACTTTTTCGCCGACGACCTCGCGGCGGTCGTCGCTGGTCAGCTAGGAAAGCGCTACACGGATCAATGTCTGGACTTAGAAAAGAGAATCAAACTATTTCTGAATCAGCTCGAATATTATTCTCTTCTAGCTGTTCAACCGATTAATTTCGCTAAGACAGAGGCACTATATAGCG